AGTGAAAAGAAGTTCATGCTGTGGGCCTAAGCAGAACACCTAAGACAGCCAATAGGAAGTCTGCATGTACTTGATTATATATTCTACCGAATTACTTCAGAAGTCATGTATAGGCTTCCAGCTTCAGCCAGTGTGTACAAATCTATGAGAACCCTTGGTCTGGTCTCATGTCAGAAACTTAGCAGTGTGGGGCTTGGTCAGGGCTTGTATTAAAAACTAACTGACATTAGAAGTTACAATCAGGTTATGAACGTAACCTTTACTTTGAAATGAAAATAACTTTCAATTTAAATGAAGAATTAAAAAAAAAATCAGCCTCTATTCAGTCCTAATAGAGTGGTGGGATACTTTAAATGGCCAATACTGGAAGCCAGCTTCAACTTGTGGGTCTATGGGGCTGGGAAACCTTGGGCTTAACTGATCTGTTAAGCTAAGCAGGGCTGGTCCAGGTCAGTGACTGGATGGGAGACCATGCTCCCTTACCAGTAGTTCAATGCTTTTCAGCCAAACCTTTATTTTGAAACTAAACTATGGATACAGTGAAAAGAAGTTCATGCTGTGGGCCTAAGCAGAACACCTAAGACAGCCAATAGGAAGTCTGCATGTACTTGATTATATATTCTACCGAATTACTTCAGAAGTCATGTATAGGCTTCCAGCTTCAGCCAGTGTGTACAAATCTATGAGAACCCTTGGTCTGGTCTCATGTCAGAAACTTAGCAGTGTGGGGCTTGGTCAGGGCTTGTATTAAAAACTAACTGACATTAGAAGTTACAATCAGGTTATGAACCTAACCTTTACTTTGAAATGAAAATAACTTTCAATTTAAATGAAGAATTAAAAAAAAAGTCAGCCTCTATTCAGTCCTAATAGAGTGGTGGGATACTTTAAATGGCCAATACTGGAAGCCAGCCTCAACCTGTGGCTCTATGGGGCTGAGAACCCTTGGGCTGGACTGATCGATTAAGCTAAGCAGGGCTGGTCCAGGTCAGTGACTGGATGGGAGACCATGCTGCCTTGCCAGTAGTTCAATGCTTTTCAGCCAAACCTTTATTTTGAAACTAAACTATGGATACAGTGAAAAGAAGTTCATACTGTGGGCCTAAGCAGAACACCTAAGACAGCCAATAGGAAGTCTGCATGTACTTGATTATATATTCTACCAAATTACTTCAGAAGTCATGTATAGGCTTCCAGCTTCAGCCAGTGTATACAAATCTATGAGAACCCTTGGTGGGGAGTCATGCCAGAAACTTAGCAGTGTGGGGCTTGGTCAGGGCTTGTATTACAAACTAACTGACATTAGAAGTTACAATCAGGTTATGAACCTAACCTTTACTTTGAAATGAAAATAACTTTCAATTTAAATGAAGAATTTAAAAAAAGTCAGCCTCTATTCAGTCCTAATAGAGTGGTGGGATATTTTAAATGGCCAATACTGGAAGCCAGCCTCAACCTGTGGCTCTATGGGGCTGGGAACCCTTGGGCTTACCGGATCTATTAAGCTAAGCAGGGCTGGTCCAGGTCAGAGACTGGATGGGAGACCATGCCGCCTTGCCAGTAGTTCAATGCTTTTCAGCCAAACCTTTATTTTGAAACTAAACTATGGATACAGTGAAAAGAAGTTCATACTGTGGGCCTAAGCAGAACACCTAAGACAGCCAATAGGAAGTCTGCATGTACTTGATTATATGTTCTACCAAATTACTTCAGAAGTCATGTATAGGCTTCCAGCTTCAGCCAGTGTGTACAAATCTATGAGAACCCTTGGTCTGGTCTCATGTCAGAAACTTAGCAGTGTGGGGCTTGGTCAGGGCTTGTATTAAAAACTAACTGACATTAGAAGTTACAATCAGGTTATGAACCTAACCTTTATTTTGAAATGAAAATAACTTTCAATTTAAATGAAGAATTAAAAAAAAAATCAGCCTCTATTCAGTCCTAATAGAGTGGTGGGATACTTTAAATGGCCAATACTGGAAGCCCGCTTCAACCTGTGGATCTATGGGGCTGGGAACCCTTGGGCTTAACTGATCTGTTAAGCTAAGCAGGGCTGATCCAGGTCAGTGACTGGATGGGAGACCATGCTCCCTTACCTTTACTTCAATGCTTTTCAGCCAAACCTTTATTTTGAAACTAAACTATGGATACAGTGAAAAGAAGTTCATGCTGTGGGCCTAAGCAGAACACCTAAGACAGCCAATAGGAAGTCTGCATGTACTTGATTATATATTCTACCGAATTACTTCAGAAGTCATGTATAGGCTTCCAGCTTCAGCCAGTGTGTACAAATCTATGAGAACCCTTGGTCTGGTCTCATGTCAGAAACTTAGCAGTGTGGGGCTTGGTCAGGGCTTGTATTAAAAACTAACTGACATTAGAAGTTACAATCAGGTTATGAACCTAACCTTTACTTTGAAATGAAAATAACTTTCAATTTAAATGAAGAATTAAAAAAAAAGTCAGCCTCTATTCAGTCCTAATAGAGTGGTGGGATACTTTAAATGGCCGACACTGGAAGCCAGCCTCAAGCTGTGGCTCTATGGGGCTGGGAACCCTTGGGCTGGACTGATCTATTAAGCTAAGCAGGGCTGGTCCAGGTCAGTGACCGGATGGGAGACCATGCTGCCTTTCCAGTAGTTCAATGCTTTTCAGCCAAACCTTTATTTTGAAACTAAACTATGGATACAGTGAAAAGAAGTTCATACTGTGGGCCTAAGCAGAACACCTAAGACAGCCAATAGGAAGTCTGCATGTACTTGATTATATATTCTACCAAATTACTTCAGAAGTCATGTATAGGCTTCCAGCTTCAGCCAGTGTGTACAAATCTATGAGAACCCTTGGTCTGGTCTCATGTCAGAAACTTAGCAGTGTGGGGCTTGGTCAGGGCTTGTATTAAAAACTAACTGACATTAGAAGTTACAATCAGGTTATGAACCTAACCTTTACTTTGAAATGAAAATAACTTTCAATTTAAATGAAGAATTAAAAAAAAAGTCAGCCTCTATTCAGTCCTAATAGAGTGGTGGGATACTTTAAATGGCCAATACTGGAAGCCAGCCCCAAACTGTGGCTCTATGGGGCTGGGAACCCTTGGGCTTGACTGATCTATCAAGCTAAGCAGGGCTGGTCCAGGTCAGTGACTGGATAGGAGACCATGCTGCCTTACCAGTAGTTCAATGCTGTATAGCCAAACCTTTATTTTGAAACTAAACTATGGATACAGTGAAAAGAAGTTCATGCTGTGGGCCTAAGCAGAACACCTAAGACAGCCAATAGGAAGTCTGCATGTACTTGATTATATATTCTACCAAATTACTTCAGAAGTCATGTATAGGCTTCCAGCTTCAGCCAGTGTGTACAAATCTATGAGAACCCTTGGTCTGGTCTCATGTCAGAAACTTAGCAGTGTGGGGCTTGGTCAGGGCTTGTATTAAAAACTAACTGACATTAGAAGTTACAATCAGGTTATGAACCTAACCTTTACTTTGAAATGAAAATAACTTTCAATTTAAATGAAGAATTAAAAAAAAAATCAGCCTCTATTCAGTCCTAATAGAGTGGTGGGATACTTTAAATGGCCAATACTGGAATCCTGCCTCAACCTGTGGCTCTATGGGGCTGGGAACCCTTGGGCTTGCCTAAGCTGTTAAGCTAAGTAGGGCTGGTCCAGGTCAGTGACTGGATGGGAGACCATGCTGCCTTACCAGTAGTTCAATGCTTTTCAGCCAAACCTTTATTTTGAAACTAAACTATGGATACAGTGAAAAGAAGTTCATACTGTGGGCCTAAGCAGAACACCTAAGACAGCCAATAGGAAGTCTGCATGTACTTGATTATATATTCTACCGAATTACTTCAGAAGTAAGCTGTGGACCTAAGCAGAAGGCCTAACAACATACCTCCCCAGTCAATTTCCATCAGCACTACACAGACAGCCTTGACATCTGTTTATCTCCTGCTTATCAGTGGTAACATTTTAAAACTGATCCTTCACAACCTGCAACAGGATATATTTATCATTTATAATTTTAAATTTAATATTAAAATCTAAAATAGGTAGTCTAACGTAAACATTTGGTTTAATTAGATGCTGTTGGATGGAGTGGCACACATACAGAGCATTAACAGCAAGTAAACAGGCAAATGACACTGTTATTTTTTTGCTCATTGAAAGTATTTCTTGTATGGGGAGGCCCATCAGTTTCTGTTGCACCATGGACCATACGATCCTAGCTATTCTGTTGCAGGCTGCATCACTAGTTTACTTTTGCATATTATAGATTAGTTCAGCTGATGGATAAAACATGACCAGTTATATGTCATTGCTAAACATTACCCATCTCAATAGCATGTGGTGCATGTAGTGGTGACTGAACTAGGAACTTTCTCCCTGCAGAGACAGCACTTGCACATTTTAACAACCACCAACAGAAATAAGTAAAACCAGACAACAAATTGTTTCTTTCACTGATTAACCATATTTCACATCAGTACTAAAAACTAAATGAGCTGGAGCTGTTCACAGCCTTCTGTTAACTACAAAAGAAAACTCTTTTTTTCTCAAATTTACCACTATTGTATTCTAAGTTTAATGTTTATCATCAACATTAAACTTAGAAGACATGTGTAGGTTCACTGATGGTTTGTATTTGTATTTATGTTTGTATTTATATTTGTGTTGTAGACATGGCGACCCCTGGTTCCTACCAACACCACTGTAAATAAATCAGAGTGTAGTTTCTCTACAAGTTTCTCTACAATAAACCATTTCACATCAAACCACTCTGAATGACTTTTTACCACTCTGAGTGAATTATTTAGAAACTTAGAAAGATTGGTGGAATTGCCCTTTAACAAGCCGCAGATCCTTTGGACGCAGGCACATATACAGAGGCCGCTCACAGCTCCTCCCCCTCTTTTCCATTGGATCGCCACTGCCACTTCGGCGGCTCTGATTGGTCATTCTTGTAGGCGGTCTGCTTTGGTAATACCTGCTGCGGAAGTGAAACATGCAGAAACGGAGGCTGGTTAAAAGCTAGCGGTAGCGTGCTCCTTTACCGTGTTTTAAGCAGAAATTGTTTATGCATTTTTTTTTTATTTAAATCGAAGCCAGTCATTCTGAAATGAGAGCGTTAATGCTTATTGCATTGGTTTTCGTGAGTGCACAGGCCAAAACAGGCGAAGACGATGAGTGGGTGCATTTACCGAATAAATGTGAAGGTAGGTTTCTCATGTTTCACCATTCACTCACCGCACCTGTTTCACCGAAAACCTCATCAGTACAGCCGTGTCGTGTCGTTTTTCTGAAATGCTGTGGAGATTATGAGTATTATCGGCTACAGTCTCCTTCGTCAGTGAGTGAATATGTTAAATATGTGAGCCTGGTGTGGGGAGGAGGAGGTTCAGTAATTGACAGGAACGTTTTTCAAAAGCAGAAGTGGGACCACAGTTTACCTCATGAAGACTAGAAGGGTTTCTGCTATAACGGAAGATGCGAGTTATTTATATCAGTCGTGAAGTCTGCCTAATGTTCCCTGTTGCATTTCTTTTGCCACCAGTGTGCAAGTTTCTGAGCATTGAAATGAAATCTGCGTTTGAGGAAACAGGCAAGACAAAAGCAGTTATTGATACCAACTACCGTTTCTTGGACAATAAAGGAGCACCTCCAATCAAATACGTGAAATCGTAAGTGTGAGATTTTCCTTAAAAGAAACACCGATTTTCAAAATTTCTCCATTATTAGATGGGTAAGATATAAACAAAATAATTTAGAGTGATTTGGTGTAAAATACTCTGTTCTAGATAAACTTGCACAGTCAAAATTATTTACAGTGATAGGAACCAGATAGGTTCACTGGTGGTTTTGGATTGTCAATAAAATGGCTGTATTTGTTTTGTAGACATCGTGAATCCTGGTTCCTATCACTATCATTATAAAGAAACCTGAATCAGTAACTTTCTCTGCAAATGAACCATCATGTTTATTTCCCAACCACTGCAGACATTTTGTAAAATCGGTGGAATTCCTCTTCAACAATTTGTGCTTATTGTATACTATTAGGAGAATAAACAAAAATCTGAAATAGTATGCATTGAAGAGCAAGACCTGAGTTTTGTGTGTCTATGTTTGTCTTTAGTGATATTCGGTTTATAGAGGTGATGGAGAGCGTTTGTTCAAGGATTTTGCAGTACAATCTACACAAGGAAAGAGATGGCAGCAATCGCTTTGCAAAGGTGGGAGGCAATCTTTGCTCTAAATCATAGTTGGGCTTCTAAACCTTAGGGCTCTGTCAACAGTATACCATGTCCTAATCAACTGCAGCAGACTTCTCTCTGCCCCTGGTCATTATCATAACATTACCATAACATTGAAAAGACAAAATTCCTGTTTTCCCGTTGGAGTAGTGACTTCTCCTGCTGCTAAAATGTCTTCTGAGTTTTGATTATGTCACCATACACCAGTGGGTGGAGGAAAATAATATTAACCAATAATATCATGTTTCACCTCCCACTACAGCCACCCCCAACATCAAGTGAAAATGCTAATAATTTGTTTTACCCAGAAATATGTCATTGTATTGAAGGAAAATCACCATGCCCCAGCTGGTGGTGGAAAAATAAAATTAACAAATAATATCATTAACCCACCTGCCACTGAACAAAAATAAAAAGCTGACTCAGAGAGCCTCTCACATACAGTCAGAAATATGTCATGGTATGGTTCAGTTAATCACAGTTCGGTCACATGTCAACATCATGCAGCCATACAGTTAACTCATTTTACCCTTACCCATATGAAAATGGAGTACATCATTAAACTTAGATTTCTAGATTTTGAAGTAGTCAGTCATCCTTTGTTTAGATGTTTAGCTAACTACATAATGAAGTGTGCACTGTGTAAATTTATATGCCTAAGGTGGGCCCTAATGGACTAATGTTGAGTTTGATGTTCAGCTTTAGCTGCTCTTTCTCTGTGCATAGGGTATGTCTGAGACATTTTCCACCTTGCATAACCTGGTCCATAAAGGCGTGAAGGTTGTCATGGACATTCCTTATGAGCTGTGGAATGAGACAAGTGCTGAAGTATCTGATCTCAAGAAACAGGTATGTGTGAAACAAAGACATCTTTAATTGAATGTAACCAAATTTCTGTATCTGCTGTTTGGTTGTGCATGTACATGCTGAGTAGTTTGATGCTCTTTCTGATCATCTATTTCTTGGTATCTCATGTTTTCTATCTCATTTAGTGTGATGTGATGATTGAGCAGTATGAAGAGGTTATTGAAGACTGGTATAAAGGTAGCCAGGAAGAAGACCTGATGACACACCTGTGCGAGAAACATGTCCTGAAAGGACAAGACACATGTAAGTTACAGTACATAGTTCACATTTGAATTTACAGACATAACATTTTAAAAAAGGACAGGAGCACAAATTAAACAATTGGACATTTTCTGTTCTTTTAAAAGGCTATATCAGCAGCATTCAGAAGCAAGGCCAAAGTTTCAAGGTTAGGCAGTGCTCAGCTTGTGCATGAAGACTTGAGAACAAGCCAGTTTGTACTTCCATAGTTGTCCTCTTTTCTCATATATCTAACAATGGTCTTTTTCAATCACATAGAAACCGCACACCCAACCCACTCCCATTCATGTTGTTCCTGTATTTAACTGAATAATACAGGCTAATTCTAATGACAGATGGCAGTCAGTGCTGCCAAAAGTATTTAAACTAGCCAGTTGCTGTCAGGGTTTTTCTCAAGTTGCCCTGCGCCAGCTAGCTCATTTGGTATCCTATTCTCTGCTTGTCTTGTCTGCTTGCTTATGGCTCAACCCATAATGTGTAATATTGAGATCCTGCAGTATTATGGTTACGATAACAAAAAAAAAACAAAAAAACACTAAGAATTTTGCTTTGCGTTATTCAAGACTCTGAGTTTCTGCTGTTTGGTTTAAGAAATATGACAATTTATAGTTGATAAGTAACAATAATATGTATCAGTAAAGCACTGTTTAACTAAAATCTGTTTAATTTTTTTGCCTTGTAAAATTAAATTGGCCGATAGAGTCTGTTATCAGTACTTTCAGTTTCCTAAATTTGTATCAGTCTTTATTTGAAATATCAGCCAAATCGGGCGGCACGGTGGCGCAGTAGGTAGCGCTGTCGCCTCACAGCAAGAATGGCCTGGGTTCGATTCCCGGCCGGGTGACCAGGGTCGTTTCTGTGTGGAGTTTGCATGTTCTCCCCGTGTCTCCGTGGGTTTCCTCCGGGTACTCCGGTTTCCTCCCATAGTCCAAAAACATGCAGTCAGGCCAATTGGACATGCTAAAATTGCCCCTAGGTGTGTGTGTGAATGTGTATGTCTGTCTGTCTGCCCTGCGATGGACTGGCGACCTGTCCAGGGTGTATCCTGCCTTCCGCCTAATGACAGCTGGGATAGGCTCCAGCACCCCACTGCGACCCAGAAGGATAAGCGGTTTAGACGATGGATGGATGGATCAGCCAAATCCTAATAAGTGACATATCTAATTAATCACACAGATGTCAACTTCACTGTTGCAAATTGGCAAATGGTCAAAATTTTCTTAAAAGCAGGCATAGATGCAAAGAAAAACTGCTTCATGTGAGGTACTTGTCATCGTGTCTACCATTCAGGAGTCCAAAGTATGGAATATGATACCTGAATGTGTATTACAAGATGTCTATTCAGATGTCTGTGTAGAAAGGTTGCTATGAAATGAACATTTTAACCACCATTAGCCTGATGCAAACATACATTACCAGCTTTCTACCTCTGCACAATGACCACACCCCTACCCTGCCCACTCTATCAAGACAGCCAAAGAGAGCAGTGCTCATTAGCATACAAAGTCAACACTGAAACCAAAAAATGACCTTAAATGAGTAAATGACAAGGTAAACCCATCACACAATGACTGAATTAATAAATGATAGCATTCATCTGTCAGAACAAAACCTTGTATCTCTAAATGGTAACTTTATAGGACAAGGAAAAACATTCTTAACTTTTAATGGAAGTTAATGGAGAAATAAACCTTTTCCAAGTAATATTGAACCATTTCTGTTGGTCCATTTCTTCGTGGTTTTGACACAACATAAAGGGCAACTGCCATTTTTAAATTATTTTAAAACATGAAAAATTAAACACAAAGATGGAGATGCAAGGTTTTGTCCACAGCAATGATATGTAAACATATGTACAGAAGCTGGTTACAAGAAGGTCACATAGGTGTTCAGGTATATAGTATCAACAAATCTAGGAGGGAAATGGTTGGGGAAAAAAACTTGTAGGTGGTTTAACCCTCATATACAAATAATTATATTTTTTTTCTTCACTTGAAGCTTGTCTGCAAGAAAGTTGGGTTGGGAAGAAAGGAGACACTGCAGCCATTGCAGAAGACAAAAAGAAAAAGAAGAGCAAAAAGAAGGCCAAAAATAGTGAAGATGGCCAGAAAAAGGAGAAGAAGGTAAAGAAGAAGAAGAAAAAGAGTAAGCTGTCTGGTGAAAATAGTGACAAGCTGAAAAAAGAGGAGGATGGACACACATCAGACGAGGACATTCAGGGGAAAACTGAACTCTGACCTGTAGAATATCTGAACATCAATGTTATTTTTTCATTTGGTCCTACCTTCTCGCCTTCCCATTAAAATGCCCACTCTTAAAAAACAAAGTGCCAAAGAGAGTTCTTTGCAGTAATGCTTTTCTCTAGAAAAAAAAGCTTCCAGTTTTGGCAGCGAATCATTCATTAAAAGTTCTTTAGGGAACCAAAAGTGGTTCTTCTATGGCATCACTCCAAAGAACCATTTTCGGCACCTTTACTATAAGAGTGTATCAGTGGCCACAGATTGTGTTTAAAACTATGAGGTGCAGTAAGGCAGTGGTGGTTTGTTTGAATATTTTTTCACTTCTCTCCATCTTTCTCTCTGCTGTCTCAGTTGAGGGAACCTTTAGTCAAGAAGTTTCACATTTGGCCAGTCACAGTCTTTACGATCTGCAGAAGTATCTCTTTTCACTTCAATTGAAAGGGTTTTCCATAGATTTTTCAAAATACCTGCATAATTCAATCACGTAAACAAGTCATTGAGTGATTTCATGTGGAGTGGTGGATTGTAGAGAAACACTGATTCAAATTCCTTTACAGTGGTGCTGAACCAGAAGCCACAATGTCTACAATTCAAATATAGTCAATTTATTCAAATTCCAAAATGACCAGTGAACCTACACGTCTTAGTGAGCCTACACATGAGTGTTTTATATGTAATGTTGATAAAGGCAAAACCAGTAGTTTGGGTACTGTTTTACTGTTTTGGGTACTATTTTTATTCTGCATAGACCTCTCTGCCATGAATACTTTTTTTAGGCCAAAAGCTTCCTTTCAAACAATGTCTGAGGCATCAAGTAACATTTGTAACCACTTCATATAATAACATTATGTGAGGCAGCTTTTAGAGGCATTCAATGCTTCAGACATCTTATTCATATTACCCCTGCTATGATCAAATCTGACTTTAGTTTCTCTAGAATTGATTTTGTTTACATCTTGACAATGTAATTATGTAGAAATTGATTAACTCTCTTCAAGATACATTAGAGTTTTAGGTTAAAAAAAAAAATAGAATGTGTTGTATTTTAAATGGGGAAAAAACTTGACTTGTTCTAATATTATTGGTCACAATTTCGCAGAGAAACCTAGATCTCAGTGATGTCTACATTGTTCTGCATTTTAATTGAAGGATAAAGCATTTCAGTGAATAAATTCTCTTCATAATTTATTCATGCATTCATGTGTGTTAGGTTGCAATAAGTTCCTTATAATGTGAATTTGATTTTAGATGTTTTTGCTTTATGTTTTCTAAAGTCCTTTGAGCATCTTGCCATCCCAGTCTCAAATTTGAAGTTTTAGTGTAGCTTATTGTATTTTAGACAGTATTGATGAGGTTTAATCTCCTTCTTCCTCATCTCTGTATTGTGCACTATTAATGGTGGAAATTGAAAATCATCACAATTTGAGACTTAAAAGTCAGTCAGTGTTACATGGTAAATTCTTTTTCAAAGATGGTTTATTTACCCCTGCTTTTTTAAATATATGTTTCTGTTTACTGTGCTTTCTAAAGTCAACAGCTGCTACTCCTAAACACAGAATACAGTCAGGTTGTGTGTGTATGTCTGTGTGTGTGTGTGTGTGTGTGCTGCAGTATTGCAGTATGCAGGTCATTCTGCTATGTGCAACCTTTAAGAACCTTACGGACTGCTTGTGTTTTTGATATGCAATTAAAGTTGTAGCTGTTGATTGGATAATAAAAAACATTATAATCTTTAAGACTTTTAAATTAACTATCTACATTTGTTGTACACATGCTTTGGTTTCATATGTATGTGTGTGTATATGTATGCATGTATGTATGTGTGTGTATATATATATATATATATATATATATATATATATATATATATATATATATATATATATATATATATATATATACACACATATATACATATATATATATATATGTATGTTGTGTGTGTGTTAGTGTTTGTTGCACTGGTACCAGTGGATCTGACACAGCAGTGGACTGTGTCCACTCACTGTCCACTCTATTAGGCAGTTCTAGTTGGTCCACTTTGCAGATGGAGAGGAAGCTCATCTGTTGGTGCACAGTTTGTGTTGGTCATCCTCTAGTCCTTCATCAGTGGTAATAGGATGCTGCCCACAGGACTCTGTTGGCTGGATATTTTTGGTTGGTGAAGTATTCCTAATTAAAGTATGTGGAAGAAAAAACATTAAAAACATGCACATTGTAAACTATGCAATAGAATCATTTAAATATGAAATAACTGAAAATATTTTTAAATAATTTAGTATATAGATATGTAAGATAAATTATCCACATATTATTCGTGTTCACCCACCTACCAGACATATATGTATGATTCATATATCACACAATATTTGATACACGTGTGCATATATTTTGAAATATATCCCTTACTCTTTATGACACATTTGGCCCTATATCATACTTTGAAGAATCATACCTTAAAAAGGTCTTTATTGAACCAAAAGTGGTTCTTGTACAGCATCAATCTGAATAACGTCTTTAGTTTCCATTCCACCTATAGCAGCGCCTGGGCTGAGAAAGGGAACCACACTTGCCTACCAAGAAAATGCTGTCTGGAGCAGCTTCTGGAAATGTGTAATAAAGTTTATGATCTCTTAAAGTAGAAAGATGGAAAACCAGCAGAATACATCACTGCTGATTTCTGGACATCCTAAAGCACAATTGCCTGTGACAACATTTCATCAAGGACTTTAAGCTGACATTTTAACTGCTGGACTCGAAGGGTTACTGCACACAGCTAGACACACAATCTGTTGATGATTGTAGCCTGTAAGCTCTTTACAAACAGAGAAAGCATAACCATTTGTGTGTTAAGTAATACAGAATATTGTCACAACATAGAAATATAATGTATACAAAGCATAACAGACATGATTTACCACAGTGTTTTTTTCTTAAATCTAAATAGTGTAAATATAAATACAAATAAAAATAATTTTGTGTCAGTGTGTTAGTGTTACCGTTTCCAAAGCTCTCCTCTTCAAATCCAGATCTTTTTATATAGGCTATTTTATATTTCCCATATTCTGTGTCTTTATTTGGGGGCTAAAATGGCTTTATAAATCACCTGAGACAGCAAACTACTTTAAAATCATGAATTATGCTCATCAGAGAGTTTATTACGTACCTTGTGTATTTTGGTGTCTTACCTACCCTCATTGACCATTTTATCAGTAACACCTACTATACATGTGCATTTTATACAGCCATATGCAAATTGTTTGGGTCCCCTTGGCCAAATTACATTTTGTAAAATAAGCGAACACAACTTCTACACTTCTGCACATTTTCATGCACAACTACTGTTTATTCAACATCTTGGAAAAAAATAAAGCATAAAATGTGGCCTGTGCAAAAGTTACAGCACATTTAATAGTGTATGTCTCATTTGTTCCAAAATGTTAAATTCAGAAAATAAATACAAATTATGCAGAATTTTTTTTTTATTTAAATTTATTATACAGGCCCATTTATTGTTGCACAACTTAGCCAAAAGGGTAGGGGACCATCCCAAGACAAAAGCTGCCAGATAATGTTTGAGTTGTGGTCCAGTCACATTACATTGACTTGCTAGTGGAATACTAGTGTGTTGGGTTGGTATGAATGTATCAGTCACACCAGTGTTGCTGGGGTTTTTCAACACTGTGTGCAGTGAGATTGTATTTCATCTTTAATCAATTAATGTTTGTCATGAGAATTTATGTCTGTCGCGATAAGATCTACGCCAGGGCGCCTCAGTCTTTTCAACAAAGGGCCAAAGTGGCTACAGATCTCCATTTCAACCAAGCAGCACACCTCAAATAACTAATCAACTGTTTGAAGACTGATACCATCTAATTAAACAAGTGAAATCAGGTGTGATTCGGCTTGATTGGAATGACAACCTGCAGCCACACTGGCCCATTGTGGATGAGATGCTCTAGCCTTTCATCGGTGCTCTGTTTTTGGGCAGAGTGGTCACTGTTGGACAGATACCCTAGCAGTGGCACCGCTATGCTGAGAATGGTTCAACCAAACTTGAGGTTTTCTGGTGGTCTCTTTCCATTAAAGGACAGAATAAAGGAGGGTGACAATTTGTTCTATTTTTCTCTCTATTTTGTCATCTTAAACTTTGGTATTTTTTTATAACTGCAGTCTGTTCCCATGATGTCTTCTTTCAGGAAACTGTCTGTTTTTAGACAGGGATCCTAAATTCGGAATCCAAAGAAAGGCTGCATGTCATCACAGACTATTCCCAGTGGGAGCTTTTGTCCCACTGGGAATTCCACAAATATGAAGAAGGGAAAAGGCCATATATACTACAGTCCCAATCACTGTTAAACACAAGCCGCTGTATGATATTTGAGTAATTTAGTTGTTCACATATTTAACTTTTGCATTCTAACACTTCACCTTTATAGTGGAGAGAATTTAGGGTGTCTGTCAGGGCAGAGGAACATTAAAAAAGGCTACTGGTTGTTTCAATAATCAATGATCTCAATAATGATCTGTGAGGAAATGAACCAACTAATTGTTGGTTGAGCTTGTAAAAATATTCAAAAACTTGTTAGTTGAAGCAGGCAGTTGGACAGCAGGATCCTCACTAACAGCAATGTTCAAGCTAGCTAGGTGAGCTTACAAACAGAGGATGTTCTGTATTGGGATTACAAAAAGGGATTAGACTAGCTGATTCATACAAGATAAAAGTAACCGTATTCTTCCCAAATTACCACAGATTTAAATGTTGTTGTCCAAACTCTAGTGTCAGTGTCACTGGACTTAGTTGGCCTTTGTTAATATTAATGTGTTAATTCAGGCACTCACAACCTGTGGGCTGCAAAGCATCCTGCAGTGGTCCTCAGGCCTGTACTCTGAGGAGGCAGTAGTTTGTAGTGGGTCAGTAACATCACTTTAAAATCATAAAAACATAAGTGGAGAAAAAAATTTTACTTAAGAATCGAGGAATCAAACATTTTCAAATTATAACCAATATGAAAATTAATAGACGTACAAATAAAAACATTGCAGGAATATCCTAAACAAATATTATCAGTTTGAGACGATGCAGTCACAGGCGCAAGATGCAGAGAGGCACAGAGGCAGAGATGGAGAAGTTTCTCAGGGTGCTTTCACACTCTACTTTGTTCTGTGTGGTCTGTTTTGACATCTGTGAATACTACAGCAGACAGCTGAACTGTGGTCCACCAAAAATCACAGGTCTCAGTCCACTTCCAAATGGTTCATTTCAGTGCTGGTGGGAACGCATTATATGAACAGGTAATTAATCAACTTAGCTTGCTTTCCTCCTTTTCTAGCAGCACATTGGTGCTGTATCGTCAGCAAAATCTGTTTTTATGTCTGACTCTTTACAGACTCTCATATCGTTTCTGCACCACGAGCTGCTGTAAAATAAAACAAGTGAAGACATGCATTTGATTTTGGTTCATGGATCGGAACGTATTTTGGTCGAGCATCAGCGACCTCAGTGGTTGAAATTGATACACCAATCGTAAAGCAGAAGATATCAAGTAAGGTTCATTGTTATTGTTGATTGTGACAACACAATCTAGTACCCCTGTGAGTGTGGTTTGGCTATTTCAAATGAATCACAACTAAAAAGAAATCTCGAGACCAAAAGCAGTGCAGCATTTTCAGTGAAAACGTGATGTACTGCAGATCCAAATAACAGTCCACACCTACCTTGTACATTTCTATTCTTTTTGCTTTTTCCCCTTTTTTATAATCTCTGAAAATATACATTTAACATGTTATCTTTTTAACACAACAGCAAAGTTTGGTTTCTGTGATTCAACTGAAATTAACAATCTGATCTTTTTCACGTCCTGATTCTCAGGTTTTCAGTTTCAACATTTAAGAAAACAAAAACAAAAGTGCATTTAGAAATATTTAAAGTTGATTTTAATTTTTCTGTGGGCTGCTATGCTCTGTAGTTGGCCTTGGGGTGGAAAAGGTTGAGAAACCCTGTTTTAATTAACATCAATAAAACGTCAGTACATGTGCATATATGTATCATTTTATTGAATTGTTTCAAAATCAGAGTTTAAAACTCATTTCAGACTTTTAACTGACTTGAACTTTAGACAGAAAACTTTGCTTTGAATAATCCTGTAGATTATGTTTATTTTATTAAAATAAATGATTGTTGTCAAACAGCCTCGGTCAGCTTTATAGCCCTCTAAATAAACATTCAGAAAAAAAAAGAATGCTCTAATTTGTCACTAACAAAACAATCATAACACTACTGAAACTTTACCAAATGTTTCAGTAGTGACTATTTCGGTAGTGACAATTGACAATATTTTCCATTAAAACTTACTAAAAACTTATTAAAACGTATTTTATTTATTTTTCACATTCAATAAATCTCAAAACCGTTTGCTACAGAAGGTGTTTAATTCCTTTCACTTTGCAAAAATTATGTAATTTGGCCAGGGTTGTCCAAAACCTCCACTACCAGCTCTAAAACACAATTGCCTGATAAGAAACAAAACGTTTGTCCATTCTGTATCCTGACACTCTAAAATCAGGTTTCATTAAAAATAAAAAGGCCAAGTAAATATTATATTCTGCATTTTCTTTAATATGTAGTTGTATAAATAACTGGATAATGGAAATTGTGTTAAGATAATACTACATTTATCAGCTAAAAAAGGTGCTTGAATTAACGTACAATGGAGAGACGAGTCAGTTCAGTCAGTTGTCATGGAATTGGTTCCTTTCCGTTTTGTTGAAGGCCCATGACATGACAGAATCAAAATTACTAAAAGATCACAAAATACTCCATTCAGTGGGAATTCTGAAGTTAAAAGAACAGAAAAATCTTTAAATAAATGACATTCTTAAATAAAACAATGAGTTGAGCAGAAGAGTTTAATTAGAAGAAGCTTCAGATAGTAAGACATCAGAAGTTTCCTTCATGGAAAAATAAACAAACAAAAACGTACTGCAACATTTAAAAAAAACATTGCCTTCAGTTTCAAAGAAGAATATGTGTTTTAGCATTTTATCTGGTAAATCATTTCAAGGCCAATAATTAATCTTCTCCTGAATTTGTGATGTACAGATGTGAATTGTCCAAATAATGTGTAGAGGACAGCCACTTTTCACTACTGCGTCTTCATTCCTCAGTACATTCCTGTCTTTGTAAATACTTTTCTCTCTGCAAAACACAAGTACAAGAGAAAACTGAAAGTAGCGCTAGAAATAAAATGTAACATTAATCAAAATATTGTTTTCAGGGTTGTTTGCAAGTGTTAAAGTTCTCAAACCTGTAAAAACAAACTGAAAAACATTCACATAGGCTGTATGTAGGCCTTATGTTACAAAACAGTATTCTGAAAAAGCACAGAACTAGAACTTGTTCGGGGCCCTGACTACTTTACAAGACTATAGACTGAAACTAATATAATATATTCATTAAAAAAAACAACCAAACCTTTTAGATATCTAAAATTTCAAACTGTTAGCTTTTAAGCTGGTTAGCTAGAAGCTATTAAACTCTAGCTACTCTAACTTACATTACTTGACTACTGATTACTGATAGTCTAAGAAGATGGTTTAGTGCTTTATATATGTATAACAATGCAGAGACTGTCTGTTGGGGTGAAAATGAGATTATAAGCATGTCATTGTTTACTTGGAGTTTTTCATAGGATATCTTTAAATAGAAATGATTGTTCTTCCCTCAACATAAAGGTGCTTTTCATTTACATAACACTGACTCTCCATCTGTTATGTCTCTCATTATTATGTGTCCCCTGTGACTGTATTCAAACACAAGAGAATGTTGATAGCTTTTCATTTTTCAACATTTTTCTTGAACTGCTATTTTGCTGAATGTATATCTTTTATATGGCCAATGAATCAGTCATTCAGTGCTTTGCATGCTACCTTGTAATGTGCTGTTCTCTTCTGGGGCTCTGTTGTGCTCCACTTCCACATTCAGACCAACTCCTTCTCTGTTATCTGCTTTAACATAAATACATCTATATTAACAGATCACATTTAGTCTACTTAATAAAACTGTTTTCTCTTTATCAGTGAGTGTGGAAGTGTGTGTCTCTCACCATGTGTGAATATGTGTGAGGCAGTGTGCTGTAAGGCCTGCTCCACCTGCTCTCTTCTCTTACACTCAAACTGCAGGGCCTCCTGCAGTCTCCTTTTCGCCTTCTTCTCTTTCCTTAGACGCCGCTGAATGGTGACTGGTAAAGAGATGTGTAATAAAGATTAGTTGAATGACCATTTAAACCAGGGGTGTCAGACTTCAGTCCTGGTGAGGCAAAGCTCTGCAGAGATTAGCCTTCCACCTGATTTAAAACACCTAATTCAATTCTTCAGCTAATTAGCAAGGCTTTCACGATTGTATTAAGTGAGGGAAAACACTAATCTGTGCAGAAGTCTAAACAACCCATCAATTTTCTCTGAAGACATACACACATGAATAGTTAATGATATATATTAGTAATTACTATTAATTATGATATGTCCCTCCTCAAACTCACACATTTTTTAATTTTAATATTTGTTAAGCTAAGGTTAAAAGTGTACACTGAGGTTTCTCATAGCCCATTATTTTATTTTATATTTGTGTGGTTTTATGTATTAAAAATGATATTTGATAAATAATACTCATATTTCATTTTTACACAACCATTTTCCAGCCTCTCTTTACTCTTATAATTAAACAGACTGGTTTTGTTACTATGCCTTTAAAGCCCTGCTCAGATGGGACTAGTTTTACATAAGGTGGTGGGGAAATTTAATTTTTACCAGCGTTTCTCAGTGATTTTAGACATGTCAGTGATTTTGGTCCCATCTGAATGCATCATGTCAGTCATTTTTATGCCAGTAAAAATTCTGGCCTCTTTTTCCTTCTATAGAATAAGCCGTAGAAATAACCTCAGATTATATTAATCCTCTATTAATCGACATGTTTATAAAAATGCTATATGTTCTGTGGAAAAGGAGTTTATTAAGTATGGAGGCACTCCATACTGTGTTCTCTGTGGCTAAAATCAAGCTGATATATATTGTCCTGCCTCAAGTGTACAACACTTTTAACATTAAAGCATGTTAAACAACAGTGTATGTGGTGGGGTACTGACTGTTGGCTGTGAATTCCTAAGCTAATGACACAGTGCATTAACTTAAGACAGCATGACAAATGGAGTAAACTACACAATGGCTAAATTAAATGTTTTGACATAGTTTCAACTCTTTTCTGAGGTAAAGATGTCACGGATCCATCTCTGTCATTTATACTAAAATTTATCATCTTGCGTGGTCATAAACATTACGGATGCCCTGTGGTAAACTTACCCACCTCCCCATGTAAAACCACAACTGACTGAATAGTACTTAAGATTGATACAAGATAAATGAGCTCTGTTCTGATTGGTTGCCCTGTATTGTGATTCATTCAAGCACTCAAAGGTGAAACACTGCTTACAACTTCAATGTTAAAGGGTGCAGCTAAACTGCTGTAGGCTGAATAGGTGGATAATTGTAAATGACATCACATAAACAATGAATTCAAAACAGGCTGTCTTTGCAGTATAGTTTCTATATATGGACCATATGAACTGGGGTAGTGAATGGTATTTCTTTAATATTTTCACAATGTTTTCATTCTTCTTTTCCATGAAAGTATGGGCCTTGCATTTATCCCAGCTTAGTTTTTCTTCCTGCCTTTTTCTTTACATTGAACAACTGTAATCTGGAATGCTCAAGTCACTTCTGTTGTTGGTACTGGAATCCACCAAGGTCCATAAAGCCACATGAGAACAGCACATTAGCCAACACTAAGTTTCTAGTAACTTGTTATATTTATACAATTAGCATTATATTTATAGAATAATAATTTACTGTAAATTTAAATCTTTTTTTAAATGTTTATCTCAGTATTTCAAGGACTTTGAGTTGTTATATACTGTAAATTATCTGTTTGCAATTTTTTTGTTATTCAACTCAAGTTTTGACAAATAGGTTACAGAGGACGAGAGGTTACTGGTTAAAATATGAATGGGAAAGCTCGTAACACTGAACATTGCTTCTGTTTGCGGAGGAAGTCCCGACCTTCAATATAAAGAGCCAATCTGCCTATTGACTAAGCTGCTGGATGAAAAAGTCTTCTCCCTTGCCGAGAGCAGTGTAAGAGAAGTAGCCAGAACAACCCGAAAAAACACATTTGCGTGTGTTTTTGAGCCAAACACTACAAACTATTTATGTTTTTTCGTCAGAGTTTGCCAGCGATTTTAAATATGTTTTTGAAACAGTAATTTGGCCTTGAGTTTCAAGTTTTTTGGTCTCTCTCCATTCAAGGAGAAGGGACCCTGGTCAAATATACACACAAACACACAATATAAATATATATCTTTTTCAAATTGTCCCATTCTACCTTAAATGGTGTCGCATTTACATTCTGGCACCTCAGGCAGAATTTAAGGTTGAACGAGAAAATTCGAACAAGAAGCTGGAGAATGAGAAGCTGACTTCAGCTTCACAAAACAGTGGAACGTTGAGAGACATTTCACAAGAAACTTTTGAGGAAAAGTTTTCTGGTGGAGATGGGAGAAAGGCGACTATAGCTAAAGTTCCGCTCTTTGCGTTCGGTCAACATAACGTTACAAATAAAAATTCAGAAAATCGACACGCACACACACACACACACACACACACACACACCGCTCAGGTATAACATTATGACCACCTCCTTGTTTCTATACTTATTGTCCATTTTATCAGCTCCACTTACCATATAGGTGCACTTTGTAGTTCTACAATTACAGACTGTAGTCCATCTGTTTCTCTGCGTAATTTGTTAGCCCCCTTTTACCTTTTACCTTTTCTTCAGTGGTCAGGACCCCCATGGACCCTCACAGAGCAGGTACTATTTGGGTGGTGGATCCTTCTCAGCACTGCAGTAACACTGAGCTGGTGGTGGTGTGTTAGTGTGTGTTGCGCTGGTACGAGTGAATCAGACACAGCCGTGCTGCTGGAGTTTTTAAACACTCTGTCCACTCACTGTCCACTCTATTAGACACTCCTACCTTGTCAGTCCACCTTGTAGATGTAAAGTCAGAGACGATTGCTCATCTGCTGCTGCACAGTTTGTGTTGGTCATCCTCTAGTCCTTCATCAGTGGTCACAGGACGCTGCCCACAGGACACTGTTGGCTGGATATTTTTGATTGGTGGACTATTCTCAGTCCAGCAGTGACACTGAGGTGTTTAAAAACTCCAGCAGCACTGCTGTGTCTGATCCACTCGTACCAGCACAACACAAACTAAAACACCACCACTAAGTCAGTGTTACTGCAGTGCTGAGAATGATCCACCACTCAGGACCCTTGGGGTCCTGACCACTGAAGAACAAGGTAAAATGGGGCTAACAAAGTATGCAGAGAAACAGATGTGTGTATATATATATATATATATATATATATATATATATATATATATATAGATAGATATATATATATATATATATATATATATATATATATATATATATATATAGATAGATAGATAGATAGATTGATTGTGTGTGCGTGTGTGTGTATACACACACATATATCTTTGCTGTTGGAACAAACTTCTATCTCCATTTTTGTTGTTTTGTACTTTTTTTTTTTTTCCAGAATTTGAAAATGCCAGCTGACCTTTCAAAACTTCTTGATGAACGGACCAACAGAAATGCTCCAAAAAAGCTTGGAAAAAATTGGAAAAATTCCATTAACTTCCATACAAAATTAAGATGTTTTTCTATCTCCTGTAAAGTTAACATTTTGGAGATACGAGGTTTTGTTCTGACAGCAGCAATATATTAGTTGTCCATGATTAGAACCATTTTATAAATTTATTTGAGACCAAACTGGTTTTATATTATTAAAAACATTTCATATTTTTAAACAGTGTATACGAAGTTCATCCATAAAAAAGCAAAAATTTGGGATGCTGTTTAAAGGCACTAACTGACGAGTAAGTTTGTTCAAGTTTAATAGTAACTTAACAGCTGTTATCTGTTATTATGTGTATAAGTTGTGAAGTTTTGTTCAGCTATGTGGTCAGGCTCAGATCAGGCCCAGACACGTTTGTCAAACAGTATTTGGGTTCATACCAAAATTTCAGGCCTGGTTAAAGCTCTAACACATGCACACCTCGACTGTGCAGTTCAGTGGTGAGCTGTCTCTCCAGGCTCTCTCTTATCTCCCGTTCTCTATAGAGCTCCATCTTCAGCTCTCTCCTCTCCTGCTGGAGCTGCTTCTCCTGCAGCCGGGCATTCTCCAGGGCCACCTTCAGCAAGCCCTGAAACACACACACATACAAGACAATGCAGATGCATTTTTCTTCAGTTTTTCCAGTAAAGAACCAAGACGAATCAGAGGTAGGCCTTCTGCTCAAGAAAAAAAAATGCTAATTTTAAAATAATGATAAATTCTGCTCGCACCTTACAGAATTTTAATATGTATGTTAGTGCTAAGCTAACGCCAATTTGCCAAGCTTGTAATAGATATACTAACAGGCCCATAAAATGCTCTTTACTTGCATTTTATTTTTCCCCCTAATATCCATACATAACATTTGTGTAGTTTTATGCAGCAAAAACAGCCATAATTCATTTTTACATTACCATTTTTTATTCTGTCTTTATTCCTTGAAACTAAACATTCTGTTTCCCTCCTTATAACTTCAGTGTAAATGGGAGGGCCTAAAATGCTGACTGGGTAGATGGATACATGTAAAGGAGTTGGTTCTTGTGACAACAAAGAAACAATGAATTTATAACAAGCTATTTTTGCAGCTTAGTTTCCCTATATGGCCTGTGTGGGAGTGAACAGTATGTTTTAAGAGTGAACAGTGTTTACAAACTGCATCAAACTTGACACTTTCAGAGCCCTGACATAAAGCTGGAAGTGTGTTCATTCTGAATAAAACGTCAGGCTACCACTCATACTCTCAGTCAGACTTCTAGACAGCCTAGAGGGATGTTTTCCCCCACAAACCTGATCCCACCCATTATAAATCAAAACATGATTGGTTGATTTCATTCCTAATTATCCTGGTGGTTAACTGGAAACTAAAACTAAACCTTTTTTTCAGAGCAACCTGCTCTGAAAGCCTTGATGGTCCTCTACAAGTGCTTCCAAATGAGCTTGTCTGTCACCTGAACATTTGTAAGAAGCGTCTCCACAGACGAGCCATCAGTGTACAGGAACGCAGCAGGGAATCCGGGGACCAAGGCTTGAGCTGGGCGTTTCTCAACTAAAGATAGAAAGATGGAGAGAGAGGAAAGTTAAGATTGTTCACAATACCATTAATTTTCCTCTTCTGGGTTATGCAAATATGCATATAATTTTACATTAAAACATAAGAGGAAATTCACCCAAGAAAATCTCCCTCTTCAGAGCACCAGGGCAGAGAAAATGCAGGTGCAAAGGCTTACTGTCTTTGTTTTTTTGAGCAAAATAAAGTATGACAATAGAATATATCCACTATATATCTACTATATCCACTTCATCTTATGACGGTGCTTTTGGGAGATCTTGAATATGCTATGAATACAATAAGGTATCAACATTTTGTTCCGTAACTGAAAAACGTACACTGATTAGGCATAACATTATGACCACCTCATTGTTTCTACGCTCATTGTCCATTTTATCAGCTCCACTTACTATATAGGTGCACTATGTAGTTCTACAATTACAGACTGTAGTACATCTGTTTCTCTGCATACTTCGTTAGCCCCCTTTTACCCTGTTCTTCAGTGGTCAGGACCCCCATGGACCCTCACAGAGCAGGCACTATTTGGGTGGTGGATCCTTCTCAGCACTGCAGTAACACTGAGCTGGTGGTGGTGATGTGTTAGTGTGTGTTGTGCTGGTCTGAGTGGATCAGACACAGCAGTGCTGCTGGAGTTTTTAAACACCTTTACAAATTGTTGCATTTAAGTTGTTGGTAGTATATTGGTTTTTGACCAAAAGATACACAATTGAACAGTCTTAGAAATTGCCTGACTGGCGCCAGCTCCCCCTGCCTACTTCCTATTTATTCTGTCAACAATATTAGCTTCATAGTTTCACGTGTTTTGACTGGTTGGAGATGCAATGCTGAGAATATTAACTCCGATGTGAAGAAGATGGGTGGAAATAACAAATGTATTCAACAAGTAATGGCAACAAAGTTGCCAAAGTTAATGGAGATGAAGGCTCAGTTTATATTGCCTTGCTGGCAGAATTAATTATGGGAATAATGGAACTCTGATTGGTCAGCATTTTATGCAGCGCTGCAGTGACCTTCAGACTTTGCATTAATATGCACATGTGCATTTTCAAAACGTAACCTGCATTTTCTTTCAAGCGTAAAAATGAGCTCTTTAAATCGCCACAATAAAACTTGCGCAAACGTACTGCCATACATTCCCCATCGTGTGGTGACCCTGTTGAAACATGCTTGTGAGTCCAACAGGGTCGCAACCCATAATGTAAGAAATACTGCAGTGTATTATTGTATAGCATTTCTATGACATTCTATGACAAACAAAAACACCTCAAGTGTCTCAAAATCTCATAAAACGAAGATAAACACCTTGACAAGGGACACAGTGGTATTGATGGACTACGTGCTACTTAGCACAAGGTCAGTCTAGGTTAATCAATAAGGAAATGTTCGCTGATATACATGATCATCATCATATGGCAGGACAATGGGCCAAATCCCTGACTGTGGACTAAACAAAATTAATATTTCCTTGTATTTTCCTGTATAAAAACACTAATTTATTTCATTAATCTCTCTGTATTTTTCTCTCTCTCATCTCTGGGAATATCTGTTCTCATGGATCTGCTGTTTTAAACTCCCTAAAGGGTAACTGAGCTTGAAGACACCAAGTGACCATTTAGTTCACTGTAAAATGTTATGAACTTTGGTTCGGTTTTTGTAATAAATATATGATATGTACTAAAAACAACACATACACATTTCAAACTATAGTAAAACATAAATATGCAAAATTAAGCTAAACAAGTTCATGTAAATACATTTTTATTTAATTCTTGTCTGTATGAGGGCCCACACATCAGTTCCTTACTTTCATATCACAACATTTTTTAGTTTCACACTACTGGTGTGACGCCACACACACCAAATCACCACCCAGTCAGGCCCTCCTGTCATCCTGCATATGACCTCTCCTGATTATTTTTCACTGAGCCATGGCATTACCATCTTGACTCTCCAGAAGATTTTCCCATGGATTTTCCCTTGGGAGAACAACTTTTTCCTAGACGACTTCTCAACATTGCCTCTAAGCTCCTGGCAAAAACATCACAGTCTCCATGTTTAATAATCCATCAGGGATTAGAGGCTATGATTTATCTCATGGGTTGTTTTGTCATCTCTTCCTCTGGTTTAGCAGGTAGTCTTCAGACTTTAAGTTGTCTGACTGGACTGTACTCATGAAAAAATACTTCATAAAATTTAAACAATGTATCAAATTTGTAGCTTTGTGTCAACCTAGAAATACTGTGCAAAATCAAAGACCACCCTTCATCACCCCTCAATTTCCACTCAAAACAGCCACTATTATACATTACAACATATACCATTACACAGTTATATTTTAAAAATCAGGAAAAAATAGAAAACACAAAATTAACAGAAAATTACAAAGATGCCTCAACAAATAAATATCTAGTATGTCTAGTTTGTAGTGTGTCCACTCAGCCTTTATTACAGCTTCCATTCTTTTCAGGAGACTTGATCTCAGGTTTTTCAAAGAAATCTGAAAACTAAGACTAAAAGTTCAGTCTTAGAAGTTAGCTGCATTTTATGCTTCTCATGATCCAAACACATTCACTAATGTTAAGATCTTGGCTCAGGGGTGGCCAGTCCATTGTTCTGAGAACACCAGCAGTTTTTTTGTTTGATTGGCAAACTTTCTTCTTTCTTGTGTTCCCTTTTCTCAGTAACAGCTTCTTGACAGCTACACATTCTTTTAGACCCATAATGCTGAGTTGTCTTGTCATAGTGCAAGAGTTAACAGAAAAACCAGTGGATTTTTTTCAGACCTGAACTAGGAACACAGATTGATTGTTTCCTGTCTCTCAAAAATGAATGCTGTAAGCACTGTTCATCTGATGGTGCCATTGTTGGTGGTCTACCAGGTCTTTCAAAGTTGTTATTGATCCTACTGGCTCACCTCTCTTACCATTAGGATATTTGAGATACAACAACCAAGTCTAGAGACAACAAATAAAAAAATCTATTAACCTAACGTACTAAAGCATTTAAATATAGATCTCAGCTTACAGAATGGCTGTGCATACCTGTGTCCTTGGGAAATCTGATGCAACCCGATTCCCGCTCTCTCTGCTCCAGAGCTGTGAAGAAACACAAGTAGTTAGAGACAGAAGAGTGTGTGTGTGTGTCAGTTTATTAAGGGTGTAAATACAGTACCTTCAGGATTCTTCTTCAGGAGATTCAATTTGATTTTCTTGATAAGAATCAGAAAGGACACATTTATTTATTTCACCTTGCTCTACTGTATTTTCTGTGGAAAAATAGCTCAATTTAAAGCTTCGCAGCTAAAGCTTTTTATTTTAAAAAATTGGATTGGTATCGGCCAATACTCAGGGCTTTGATATCGGTAGCAGCAGTATCGGAAAAAGAGTTATCGTGCCACTTTTAGCACATACTTAATTTAATATTGTTATAATCAACTGTAATTGACTCAAACATTCACACTCGTGCACAGGCACTTATTTTGGGGGCAGGCGATCAAGGGGAAATAAGGGCAACCTGCGTGTGAATTCAATTCAAATCATTTTACGGCATATGGCAGACAGTCTTATACACAGAGTCTATTCATGTTTCATGGTAAACATAGTGTTATGAGTTTTTTCAAAATCTTACCTCAAATATTCACATTTCTGCCCATGTAGGAAACCCAACCTTCAGCGTACAGGGCTGGGGTGTTATTCAATACACTTTCTAACTGCTGAGAATGTGTAAGTTATAACTGTGGTCTCTTCAAGAGGGCCATACTGTCTCACATAAACAGTACTGCACCAGAGGGGGTGCCTAAGAGTGATGAAGCTCATGGAACTCAAACTGATCAAAGAGCTCTATTCACTGAGCTTGTCTGTGCATGTGCCTGCTAACATTCTAAAATCGATGCAGTTGAACTGCCACTTTCAGATGTATTTTTACATGCCAGTTAGTTAATAATGGCAGACTCACACCCACTTAGTGGAGAATATACATTAGCATGCTTTGGGCTGCTGGGCGGGCTGCTCCTCTGTTTCTGTGAATAATCAGCTTTGGACATGGCCATTCCATCCACAGTGGATGTCAGAGATGGACTGTCTTCAGCACACTCCTGCTGTTGAAAGAAAAAAGAGTGTGGTTTAAGCTTAGACAGCTCAGGGCCTGGTAGACAAGAGTACAGACCACATCTGAAAGAAAACACCTGATTGAGCAAAGGCAACTAATGATCATACATGCTAAAACAGGTCTAATCTAGCAGAGGAAACACTGTGCACCCATGTTCGGACAAAACTTTCTATTAATGAAAAAACATTTCAACTTCAAAAAAATAAATTGAATCAAAAATGTAAACAAAATTAAAATTTAGTATAAACTTAGTATAAAATATTCCAATGTTTTTTGGTTGAAGTAGTGCCTTATGAGAGGTGCTGTTCTTAGGAAAGCAGGTCATCAACACTACTTTCAACTTTCTATTGTATATATTCTGATCACAGCACAATCAGATGCTGAGCAGTTGTAAAACCATAAGCAACTGATAATAAAGCATATACAGACTGGAGCGTAATCTAGTGAAAAGTAGCAGCACTTCTTCCAATGTATGTTTCTGTTAGAGCTGCACAATATTTGCCACAGTAACATCGCAGAAGGCTGCAATCAGCAAATGAGCCCTCTAAATCAATCTCAGTGTCTTTTTTTTCTGTGTACTGTGAGTATCTTGACCCAGATCACAGTTCCATCTGACCGTTTCGGTGGGTGCTTTGATGGTACCACAACTGCAATATGTAGCAATGTAATCACAATATAAATATTTGCACAGAGAAACAAAACATTGTACTATACTGCGAGTCCCTATAGTGTGTAATGGTGGCTTGCCTAATGTCTAACAAGCTGATGTCTATGACACCACTGCAGCAATGCGTGTGCCCTACCTTGATAACAGAGATTTGTCTGGTGCTTGGACTGTGCACCCGTGCACTGCTGACCACATTGGCTAATGTCTTCAAATGATTCATCTGGTTCATCACCAAGGCAACAGAGGTCCGAGGGAGGTTAACAGGAAGCAGGGGGTGAGGAATCATCTTGAATGGTAGATCTGAAACTGATAAAGAGAGAAAAATATTGTCAACCTGTCCCGAATCAAACTACTAAAATCCATAATATCACAAGGAATCATGCTTTAGCTGTTGTCAGTTGCTAAATACAATCTTCATTTTTTATTACAAATAGTTGATTTTACTATGCCAAATTTTAACATGTCTATTTGAGACAAGTGTGCAATAACTTATTAATGCAGTTTGTACAATACAACTGTACATTAGCCTCATTCGTTTTACTGGCAAAGTTCAATTTTCTGAGGCAAATCACACAAAACTTCACACAGAACTGCTACTAACTACACGCGAAATATGATGGCCGTGGCGGAATAGTGGCAGTCAACAAGCTTAGGATAAAAGAGAAAATGTGAGTTCAGTCACAAAAAAGATAGCAGAGTTAATAAAGGAGGTTAATTTCACACCAAAACATTTCTCAAAACACAACTCTGCCTGCATAATCAGATTTTTTGCCATGAGTGACAGTTATATCACAGGTTAGAGCAACATCACAAAGAGAAGAAAAGGAAGAAAAAAGTGCTTATAAATCAGAATGAAACATTATGCAGGCTCATTTTCACACACAGGTACAGATGCAAAGGCACAGACAATGGACATATGTTTCTGATACCAGCAAGCACTGACAGGTTTCTACTATCATGTTTAATAATGCATAGATTTCCCCTTCAATGCAATGAAGGTCAACCTTCATGCTGATCATACCCAGCCATCACCATGTCTTGAGATGTCTTAAGACATGTCTAAAGACACATTATGAAGACGTCTTAGGACATCTTGAGGCATGTCTTAAGACATGAAGACATGTCTTTAAGACGTGTCTATAGACACGGATCTTAAGATGTCTTGGCAATAATAACATCTCAAGACGTCTCAAGATGTAGGATGTATAATACGTATTTTTAAATTTTACCTACATTTTTTTAAATAAATCTTTTACTTTTAAATATTTTAAGGGAATTTTAAAATGTAACATTATTTATAGCTAAAATTATAGTAATTATTTTTTTCCATTTTTTTGTTCTATGTAGGATGCATAATGGTATCATTTATATAATATATTGCATATCATTTTATAAACATACAAACATTACATACATTAGTACATACTACATTTATACATTTCAGAACAAATTTAACAACAAAAGTAATAATAATAATAATAATAATAATAGGCACATGGTTCCCAGTCTGTAGCTTTCTCTACAATAAGCCATTTTATATGAAACCACTAAATGATTTTGTTTACATCGCAATGACAGAATTATGCCAAGTTTAGAAAAATGTGGAATTCTCCTTTAAATGTTTCTGTTGCATTAGAAAAGCATCAGGAATCAGTGATATGATGAAAGTTTATTTGTGAGTTCATACCATGCCTTCAACATGGTGGTAGTATGAGGGAAGACTCTTATGCAACTATTTTGTAATACAGTGTTGCAGCAAAATTTAAAAATTTAATTCAGTGCTTTTAAATACCTTTTTATAGTAATTAACCCTTAATGTTTTAAAAATGTGGTAAAATGTGTTAAATACATTTTTTTACAGACTATTTTACAGTTGCTTCATTTTTTAATGAAGGTATCATTTTATCAACTTTTAAAATAATAATAATAAGGAGAACAAGAACAATAATAAGTATGCATAAATTACAGTAAAGTAATTTAAAGGGGTATGGAAAATCACTATTTTACAGTTTTGTATTTCCTTGTTAATCTGTTAAAAATTCAGAATACTTCCACATTCAAATAATTTACTCCGCAATCCAAAGCATAGTCCATGAAAAAGCACCCACATAGCTTTCAAAAAATATAATTACAGTTATTGTTTATTGTTTTTACAACTGTGTATATGCACAGTACAATAGCGTCATCACACTTGATATGTTCTACAGAAAGAGAAAAACATGTTAACTGACTTTGTGTAGAAATCTGAAATATACTGCAATAAATACACAGTTCCACAAACCAATGAATCTGATTTTAAGGTCTGCTGTTATTCCGTATATAAGTTATGCTGAGGTTATTAACAACATAGTACTATGAACAATTATAAATGATAGGAAACAATTTTAAGACAAATTAATATGGACTAAAAAGAAAAACTGACCAACAGAGTAATACAGAGGTCTGAACCCCAGCAGTACTCATAACATACCTGAGCCAGATAATGATCAACTGTCAAACAATTAATACCAGACTCAGATGTGCTGGTAGCTGGAATAGAGTCAAGCTGTGGACATATGTGGACACAGGAAACAGGACACAGATAACTCAGTGTGCATATGTCCATGCCGTAATGCCTGAACACTAACATTACTGATATTGCACTGCTAATGTTACCGATCTCTCCTTTCAGAGTTAAATCCGTGATGAGTGAGAGAACTGTCAGATTCACAGCCCATCGCTTCTTCCTCTGTTTTTTCTCAGTGTTGGTCTTCTTTGTCAGAGATATGAGGAAAATGCATCTGTTAAAAAATCAATTTTAAGACAATAAATTTGAAATTACTTTTGGATCTGCATACACAAGCAGGCTGAATTTAAATGGGACCTGTTATGCTAATTTCTAATGTTCATAAATTTATTTTGGGGGTCGACTATAATACATTTACATGCTTCAGTGTTCCAGAAACACATTATTTTTCTCATACTGTAATTGTTTACTCACCCTCTGTCTGAAACGCTCTGTTAGAGATCCAGTGTCTTTAAGCCCCTCCTTCCTGATGAGCCCAGTATGCTCAGATTAGTTAGCTCGCTCACTTGGCTCTGACTGATCAAGCACCAGAGCGGTTCCGCCAATACACGGGCTCCGGTAGATGCGTTGCGTTGTGTGAGGGTGTGCCAAGCTCGCTGGTAGGTGGGCAATAAGGATTGTGATATGGGATTACATCATCTTGTAACAAAGGAAAAGGGCTGGGGAACTCAGGCAGACTGAGAAAAGTGGTTTCTGTGGGAAAGAGTTTCTCCCTCTGGCATATACTTTCAGCTTTGTATCTTACATGCACAAAAAGCTACATAACACAGTAAATAAAAGGGAAAGCATTATATATTCCCTTTATAAGTAGAATATAATGTACAGTATACATAATTTTACTCATCTAAAATCAACTCAGGCATTTAGTACACAAAGAAATGTGACAAGGCTTTAAATAATACCTATGCATGAACTCCAGTGTGGCACCCAGCTCACACGCATAGCTGATGTTCAGACAATGATGTTCAGTGTAATGAAAGAAGCATCAGGATGAGGCCACTTGCGTAAGAGCACAGTTAAGTGTTGAAAATGATATGGACTGCCACCATACTGGATGAGGCCCAAAGAGAGAATGTTCCTTGGGAAGGATTGAAAACAACAAAGTTGATTAGATAATTCACAATTCTATTGTTTTCATCCTCTAACATGCCTCAGTCAACACGTGACAGAAATGATCATTTGCTATTGAGGCAGATGTGAGCTTAGTACTGATATCTGTATCTGTTAAAAGCTGTGTTAAAGGAGAATTACATGATTTTTAAGCACAATTTCATCATTAAGATGCAAAAAAATAGTTTGATACAAAATGTTCCACTGTGGAAAAACTTACAGAGTCAGAGTTGTTCATAGTGGCAGTGACAAGAACCAGATGTTTGAAGAGTTCAATGCCTCTAATCTCTCACAGAGAATTATTACATGAAATGATTATTAATAAGAGCTGAACTCTGAACTCTGCTATAAATTGTAGGGCTCTGAGACTTGCAGTATTACACATTAAAGCACTGTGAAGAAGTAAATTCATAAATATTGACACAGTGTTGGTGATATTGCCATATCGATATTTTGAACACAGCTGTAATGGCAAATAACATATTAATAAATTGAATGAACAAAGCGCAGATATTTGAATACTGTAACCCGGCTTTACCTAAACATTCTGCTCTTCTGTATTACCATAAATACTTCATGAATTATATTTGTTTGAAATACCCACCAAATCTAAACATCTGTCTGACATTCTTATAGTTTCATTTAAAAAATTAAAACTTGAGTCTCACCAGTTGCTCAGCTTCAGATGATTTCTGATGAGAAACATCTAAAACAAAACAGACACATGAGGTAAATGCAGCAAAACAACAACAGTAAGGCATAACAATGAAAAACACAAAACAAACTGGTCATTATATATTACTAATAAATGTAGCCGAGTAAAACATAGATTATTAATCTAAAGCACAGATAATACATTTTAAAAATACTCTAGAAAGTACAAATCCACCAAGACGTTACTAGAGTAAATGTAACTGAACAAATTAAAATTATTACTACCCTCTCTGAACCACACAGACTGACGGACTATGTTCAGTTTCATTGTTGTATTGTTCAGTGTGCTGACCCTGCTGCACTGTGATCAGTGTGCTGACCCTGCTGCACTATGTTCAGTCTTAGATTTATTTCTGAGGCAGTCTTTCATTTGGAGTGCGTGCTAAGCGAGATCTGACGCAGCCGCGAGGCGTAAACAGACACGCCGCTTAGCCGCTAGCTAGCTAACTACATACGCTAACCTACCGCCGGTGTCTTCACTCGGCAGATCAACCCAGAAATACAGAAACAAAAGTTTACGCCAGCTGACTGTCAGTGAGGCTGCTCATCTCATTCGGTCACTACTCACCTTTTAAAAGCAGACTCTGACCGCTGCAGTCGGGACTCCAGTCGTAAAACCAGTCTCCACTCCACTCGGTCCAGTCAGTAGTTATCGTTAGTCAGCTACGCAGCTGAAAATCCTCGTTTCTGGGAGCTGAAAGCGTCACCCGGCAGGCGGCGCTGTCTTAGTAAGGAGTGTAAGAGAGTCTTATCAGGTTTAACACTCGCTAAACAAACTCGATAAACTGCCCGCGGTAGCGACCTGAGAGACCCGCTCACTGTAACGGCTGTAACGGCCGCGTTTGGCTTTAAACGGAGGAACGGCGGAGAGCGCTCGCGCTTCAAAACCGAACGTCCAAGCGGCGGAGTCCCGCGCTCTGATTGGTCTAAACTCCCGCCAGTCTTTTGTTTGTCCTCCCATAGATCCTTTTTTTTCTGGTTCGCACGGCTCTGCTGTGCTGAATGAACTGTGCTGCTTTGTTTTTGTTTGTTTGTTTTTTTAATCTAGACACAGAATAGAAAACTGTAAACCCTTGAAATACATAAGACAGCTGTACAGCATTATCATACAGCATCACTGGAGGCCATGTCTTAATATATTAAAGTCAAAGTATGAAGTTGGACATTTAAACAAAAATCTGTTTATTATGTAATTTTACGTGGTGAAACAATACAGGTCTTTATATATTACTACTCAAATACATTTGTTTATTATTGTTCGTGTTTTCCAAATACTGGAGATAATAATTTGGAAAGTTATACAAATTAAAAGTCTAACTTTGGGCAGCCCTGATCTGCTTAAGAAAATAAACAGAAGTGTAGATGTTGAAGAGAGTGAACCAAGGGCTTTTTCTGCATTAAGTTTTGGTGGTATGAGATCTCTAAAGTACTCAGGTTAGCTGTTAAGTACATTTACTTCCTATTAGCTCAAAGTTGTTTTATCTTGGTTCCTAGCTTGTTGTCTCTGGTTACAGTTGTACATTTGAAAATAGATCAATGTTGTTTTAATCATAGCATGTTTTCTGCAAATGAGCAAAAGGCTGTGACTGACTGTGATTATCTCCTTTGGTAAATGTTACAAATTAAAAGTTATTCTACCATGAACTTCAATGATATAAGGAAATGAGTTTAAACATTTTAAGGTAAGGTAAATGGTTTAAGAACTGATTTTTTCTTTTGCTATTTTGCCACTGTAAACACATTTCTGCAATAATCAAAAAACAAAACATACAAAAAAAAAGAATCACAAAAGTACAGCAAGAAAAACCTTAGTGAATGTTCTTTTAGTAATATCACACAAAAACCATAAGATTACAGCAGGCTGTTTCTTGAGGACATACTTAAATTCTCTCTTATATAGTTATATTCTCATTATAAAGTACATTGGGCAGTGCTGTGGTAATCCTCAGTAGTAATTTTCAGTTTGGCAGTATCACAGGAATACCACACTCATACCACAGGACCTTTTGTAATGGACCACTCTTTGGTCTCAACTGAACTGTCTTAAGACACAACATCTCTATGTCTTAAGACAAAGTGATGTCTTAAGTCATGCCTCGTCTTCAAGACACACAAAATAATTACTTCTTTGTCTTAAGACGTTAACTTTCATGTCTCAAGACAAAGACAGTGTCTTCACTCATACGTCTTAAGACGTTCTTGAGACGTCTTGGCATAAAAAAATGTCTCAAGACATCTTATAAATACTGTCAAGACATCTTAAGACATCTTAAGACACAGTGACAGCTGAGTATGATGTTGCTGGGATGTACATCATCTTTCTGATCGTTCTCTTTGTATGTCCATTTTCGACATTAGGTTTTTCTCAGTTGCTTTCATTAGAAGCCAATTTCTGTCAAATTTTATTAAAATAGTACTTTTGTGCTGCCTTACTTTTTAGTACTTATTAATTAAAGCCAAAATGTACTGTTTCATTTAGTTTTAGTCAGTAATGCTATGTGTTGGGACACACAGCCATGAATGTTTTAATATGCAGTTAATGAAAAGAAAAAAAAAACAGAAAGAACACTTTTTACTGCACCGTGTTCATTTGTTGACTTATGGTGTAACGTTTTTAGTTTCCATTTTCTTTTTTCTTCTTAATTTTCAACTCTTTTCTTCTTAATTATTAACAGATCTATCATTATTGAGGAACTTTTAAAAAATATTCAGAGCATGTGGATCAAACTAAGATCAGAACAAAGAATGTATCAGAAAATACACAACCTTATTATTCCTGTTAATGATAATGTGTTTTAATATTGACTATGCCAGGCACCTGAGTCCTGGGCGCCAACGAGAGCTGTGGTAAGCAGTGGGAGGACAGCGCCCAAACACCACTGAGTGCCACAGGGGGCAACATAAGAAAGCGCCCGAATCCTAAGCGTAAACGTGAGGACGCAATCCAAAAAAGCCCTGAGAGGAGCCCCTGAGCACTACGTCCTGCACTGTAACAGGGACACAACTACACTTTTGACTTTTAGAGATGATGGGGAGGCAGAGCAACAAGCCCTGTCTTTCTCTCCTGGCTCAGGCTGCCCTTAACGAGAGCCAGCTCATGCAGGTTTGGCAACGCCAGTGTGGGCATCTTTAAAAGGAGCGGAGAGGGAAAAAGAGAGGGAAAGAGGTGAGACCCCTGCCCCAAGAGTCTGTCCTCCTCCTGGAGTTGCACATGGTGTACTATACTGACATATAAAGCATTAAATATCCTGATAAAATGATAACTCTAAGTGTAACAGTGCTCTGTTCACCTAGCTTTATGGCTGAATTGCTGTATAAAGATTACACCCCAACATACCCCAAAACCATCAAATAATAGTTATCATTCATAAATTTTAATTCACTCTATGCATAAATGTAAAAGTCAAATATGTATACATTCATTATTTTTATTATATTTGTTTGTTTGGTATTTTTCAATTTTTTATTTTTTGTTGCTGTTGTTATTGTTTATTTTTATTTTTCTATGCACTCCTTCTTGGGAGAAGCCTTCTTAGAATTATGAAATATGTATTACTAATAACAAAGCACACTCAGCTCTTCAGTTTTCTTCGATTCAACAAAGGATGCTGATGGCAGGTTTTAGAGTCACCAAGAAAACTGTCTTGCGACTTTGGATTGCCCCACAGCTTTCAGCTATGAAATTCTGGATATCTAGTTTTCAAAATATAGTTCGGATGGAATATCTTACAGCAAAGCTTAACGAGCCAAAACAGTCAACAATAAGAAACTGGGAGAAATTATATGACTCTATTCAAGAATTTTAGTTTACAATTAAATTATGTGATGTTTAGTTGTGTTGTTTATGTATTGTCTTTGCTTTATTTCTGATTTGTGTTTATTCCTAAAAATGTCACCGTACTGCCTTCCCCTACCCCTTACCTTTCCCCACCCTTGTTGTAAAACATAATGAAAAATGCCATAAAAAGTTGGTCACAAAAAAATTTAATGATATTTCAACTCAGTAATTATGACAACTGATAAATGGTTATTCAGGTTTAAGTTAGTTGTCATGAAAGGCTTATGTAGGTGTCATGTAGCCTTGTAAACTTCATTGAAGTGTTACTGCTTGTTTTAAAAACGTTTTCGGTAACACTTTCTATGAATGTCACCTTTGTAAGGTTACACTGAATTACACTTTATAGCCATGTTTATTATATATTATGAATTGTTAATATAATGCATTATAAATAGTGTTAATAACATGTTATAATGTCAGTGCCAAAGAAGTCAGTCCCAGCTTGTAGAGCCTAAAGACAAACACTGGTGTACATTGACTTTCCCGCATTGTGCAAAACACTGATGGCAGCACTAGTTTAAACTCTGACATTTGAAGCCTGTAATGTGCTTTACTGTGTATGTTTTAGTGTTTCAGTAAATCCTTCAGTAAATACTTCAACTTGAGGCCTCACTCTTGACACTGGAGGAGGCTTTAGTACAGTATGCTTCACTTTACTTAGAGCGGACAAATACGACTTATGAGCTCTTATCATTTGTTATGATCAGTACTTATAATGTATTATGTTAACAATTCATAATGCACAATAAACATGGCTATAACGTATAGTGCATTTTTATAAATATTTATAGCTATGTTCATAATGTCTTATGAATGCATTATAACATGTTATGAATGTGTTTATAGATGCTTACAAAGGTGACATTCATAGAAAGTGTTACCAAGTTTTCAAAAAGATTTCCTAGTTTAGGATTTTCCAGTAAAGCATTTTAGAAAACTTGAAAGGCTTTGCGTGTTGAGCTAAATTCATTTTTATTGTTTGGCCCTTTGGATAAAAAGATTATCAGTAGATTGCTTGAATAGTAATATAATTGATACTGACAGCTCTGGTGGTACATGGCGATTATTGGTTTAATATTTATCCAAATGCAAATATTTGGACATTAATTTGATGTTGATGGAATGATAAAGGAATGGAGATGATGCTGAACCAATGATTTTCAGATTCCTCCAGCCATTACCTACCCTACGACAGGGACAGGTCAGGTAATAAGAACAACTAAGCAAATAGAGCAAACTAAGCAAACTGAACAAATAGCACTCTATTTGGAAAAAAGAGAAGAAATTATAAAAATAAAGAATTGGATGTTAGCCTTGATGCTACACAAATATGTTGTTGTGCAATTAAAACATGAAGTGAAAACAGTACACAAAGCCAACTTTTTGTTAAACTTACTCTGTTAAATACTTAGTATTTAGTATTTCAAATACTCTGAAAGCACTCTCCATTAAGCCACGTCTCAAATGCTAGCTGGTTACTTGCATTTATCACAATTGCAGGTTGGCTTGTAACTTTTTTACAACATGCTGGATAGATTTGGTTAGCACCAAGTAACAGCATGACATATGTGTGCGTACCTGTTTTTGAGTTGAGCTCCCGTGGGTCAGACTGTGTGCCGTTTTCATTAGTGCTTTTATGTAGGTTTATCATCATCTTCATCTTCTGTAACTTCATTGTTTCAGCCATTGCTGCGGCTGTAAGACCTACAATTAATACACATACACACCATAGAGAAAGTACAGGCAGTGTTCACAGGACAATTTTCCATATTTGTTCATTATTATCTTGCAGGAAAGTTTCTTCAACAAGCAATCTATGTCACTGTCTGCAGTGTGTGATCTAAATATTTCATTAACAGCCAGGGAAGTGGCCATTTCTGACCATTTTACAACTCAAGGTCGTCATTGATTTGTTTACAGACGGTCTGGTATGAGCTTTCTTTGTCACAAATCACTTTCTTCCTTCAGAAGACTCTATGAGGCTTCTTGACAGGCCTCACAAACACAGTGAGACATTAACCAGCCAAGCATGGCTAGTTTGCTAAACTGTACTGATCATGTCATTAGGTTCCTTTGATGCACTTTACTTGTACAGTTGTGTCAGTATTATTGAATACAGTAGTATTATTATCATCCATCCTTAGAAATCATTTGTCAATCATTATCTTCTCACTCTTCACTACCATAAGAACAGTTAGCCAAACCAAGCACCCATCCTTGGTTGCCTTGGATACCCCCACAGTGGTATTGATTAGAAACAACAGTTTAATGATAGACATGAAAACTGCTCTTTCTGTGTCCGTAGGGACAACCCTCTGCGCTCTCTCAAAGTTTAAACATGTCTACCCGCTGATTGATGTCTTTTGACAAGGTCACCTTCCCCCAACACGCAACATCAGTGTATTCTTCCAGGAAAGAAACATGTTGATAGAAATGAAAGGACGAAAGATCAGCTCTCACTGAACGCTAGCCTTTTAGTACATCATGACGCCTTTTCCATACAAACCTTTTTCAAGAGATCCTTAGCCTTCTAGAGCCCGGGAAAATGCTAGCTCAGATATATAAACCAAAACTTTGCTGCACAAGTAGCCAATAGGGGAAAAGTCATCCATCAGTGTTATTTGAGGATGTTTACTCTGAATGCAGCTTGAAAAGCTCTACCAGTAAAACTAGCATCAAAATATCACCTTGAAGTCAATGTGAATTGACAATCATAGTAATTTTGTTCCATACTATGAGGTGTTTCCGAGTGAAACATGGTATCTGGGAGGGTCTTTGAGCTTGCTAATCAATTTTGCCCAGTGATAGGTGGGATTGGTGGGAGGCTGGATGTAGTTTGGTTAAATTTCTTTGGCATGGCGATATGCCAAATGTCATGATTCATTAAGAGTGTCAATATTAAGAGTGCAGTAGTTCACTTAAAAGATGCAGGCTAACGTTAAGCCTAACTAAAGACTAAAAAGACTGGAAGAACACTGTCAAAAGACTGTAGCTTTCTAAGGTACAGAAAAATCACAGATCAATGGTGATGCACTGCATCAACAATGACTGCCATCGTTGTGGGATTTGCATTAATTGCACACATCGCACCCAGTGCTAGAAGTGGAGTTGCTGATAATCACATGCAGGCCCTTCAGCACTGCATCCATCTGTGAACGGATTTTTTTCCTTCTTTACCAGACTGTTTTTCTATAAGACTAACATAGCCCCTTGTAGTGAACAGTGAAAAAGCTGCGACAGTTCAGAAGATCCCCAAGCACGTCTGTGCTAACCATGAGAGTGTCTTTTTCTTCCACCATTAATTTTCAAAGAATACATACAAATATAGAAGCTTAAAGATATTTAAAAAAAGTTGTGTGAAACTCTGTTACTGAAACCTATTTACCCTGTTATGGGCACAGGAAACCTAATACATCACATGAAAAACAGGATATCAAGACCCTTTCTAACAGCAAGGCCAAGAGAGTAAAGCGAAGAGAAAACAGATTTTGGTAATCTATAAAACATATTTGGTAATGACAACTGTTACATTCCTGTTACCATCAGCCATGTTAGACTGAATTAGGATGGAAAAAAACTGAATTCATGGCTACTATTGAACTGAGATAATGGGTTTCGTGATTCAGCCGTCAAGTGGCTATGTAGGGAATATTTATCTTTTTAAAAGCATCATATGAAATTAATATTGCTCTATGCCATATTATTAATGCAAGTAACAAAATTCTTAATAAGTGAGTAAGTGTAATATGTTCAATATGTACAATAACATTTTCTAAAAAAGTTGTGATGCTGGGCAAAATGTAAATAAAAACATAATGCAATGATGTGCAAATCATTTAAACCCAATATTTCATTGAAAATAGTATAAAGACAACATTCAAATGTTGAAACTGAGAAATTTTTTCAATAAACAATAAATATTTGCACATTTTGAACTTGCCAACAACACGTTCCAAAAAAGGTGGGACAGGGGCAACAAAAGGCTGCTAAAGTTGTTGGCAGCATGTCAGTACCATGATTGGGTATAAAAAAAGCATCCCAGAGAGGCTGAGTCTTTCAGAAATAAAGATGAGGAGGGGTTCACCATTCTGTGAAAGACCGCATGAGCAAATAATTCAAGAATAACATATTTCAACATAAAACGGCAAAGAACGTCTGCTTTTCATCATCTATGGTACATAACATTTAAAGATTCAGAGAATTTGGAGAAATCTCTGTATGCAAGGGACAAAGCCAAAAACCAGTATTTGCTGGCCATGATCTTCGGGCCCTCAGGAGGCACTCCATTAAAGCAAACATGATTCTGTACAGGAAATCATTGCATGGGCTCAGAAACACTTCTGAAAAACACTGTCTGTGAAAACAGTTCGTCACTGCATCCACAAATGCATGTTAAACTCTAAAACGCAAAGAAGAAACCACATATAAACAGGATCCAGAAATGCTGCCACCTTCTCTGGGCCTGAGCTCATTTAAAATGGACTAAGGGGAAGTGGGAAAAGTGCTCTGTGGTCTGATGAATTGACATTTGAAATTCTTTTTGGAAATCATGGACACTGTGTCCTCCGGGCTAAAGACCACTCAGCTTGTTATCAGTACACAGTTCAAAAGCCAGTATTCATGATGGTATAGGGGTGCATTAGTGCACATGGTATGGGTGACATGCACATCTGTGAAGGCACCATTAATGCTAACATATGCTGCCATCCAGATGACATCTTTTTCAGGGAAGGCCTTGACCACATTCTGCATGTATCACAGCAGCATTGCACCATATTAAAAGAGTCCAGGTGCTAAACTGCCCTGCCTGCAGTCCAGACCTGTCACCACTGAAAATATTTGGCACATTATGTAATGGAAAATACGACAAATGAGCCCCCAACCTGTTGAGAAGCTGAAATCCTATATCAAACAAGAATGGGAAAACATTTCACTTTCAAAACTACAGCAGTTGATCTCCTCAGTTCCCAAACGCTTACAGAGTGTTGTTAAAGAAGAGGTGATAAAACACAGTGGTAAACATGTCCCCATCCCATCATTTTTGGAACGTGTTGCTGGCATCAAATTCAAAATGGGCATATTTTTTTCAAAAAACAATCACATTTCTGAACTTCAACATTTGATATGTTGTCTTTGTAGTTTCCTTTAAAAATATGATTTACATCATTTGCATATCATTGCATTCTATTTTTATATACATTCTGCACAGCACCCTAACATTTTTGGAAATGAGTTCGTATTATAATACTTCGCTAAAGGAAAAAATAATCACATTTCTGTAACACCTTCCCTGTACCGTGTTCCCAACACCGTTTACATAAACTACATTTATATATTCAAAAAAGTGCATATTTTTCTTGGACAAAAGTTTCAAACCATCAGTCCCACATGCATGTCATAGCATTTGCTTTGAGCCAAGCAGTAGAATCACTTTCTACAAGCTGAATTGCCCTGTGTCTTGAAAGCAGGAATATTACTGAACCATCAAAAGATGTCCTTCACACTTCACAATGAAGCAGATCAAGGGTGCCTTCAAAGCCATGAGAAACTACAGCTGAAACATCTTTAATGCTGACCTCCACACAACCATGAGAGTACTCACAGGCTGCTTCACAGTCGTCTAAAAGATAGAAATCCTTGTGAATGACAGGACAAAAGAACTGTTCCAGAAGCTACAGAATAGAAACTGTTTTTGATAGTAAGGCAAGACATTGCTATAAAGCCTTCTGTGCAATACACAGCTAATACACACTATGAAATCTAGTGTAGTTCGCAAACAACAGTACCACTGATGCCAAGCACCACTAACAAGGCAACCTATCTGCCTAGCTGATGTGCTGTATTCTGCATGAGTGAATGATTCCCATTTCATTAAACAGCTGTCACCAACAGCTGCAGCATCAAATGCCACTTGCATGTGTGTAGGGCATGCATAGGTCTCAACATAAGCCTAACAAAAATAAGGAGACCCTACAGGACCCTACAGCAGATTGTGAGGACAGCTGAGAAGATCACTGGGGAGTCTTTACCCTTTATCATAAACAGTGCATTCGCAAGACAGCCAGCACCATGGACAAGCCCTCTCACCCCTCTCCTGGACTCTAATCCCTTGTGCCATCTGACTGAAGGTGCCTGTGCATCAGTTCCACCACCAACAGACTCTGCAACAGCTTCTTCCCTGAGGTAGTCAGACTGCATGAGCAATTTTACAGTCAAGCCAATTAAGTGCTTGGGGCTGCAATCGACTAACATACCCCACAGGGAAGTCAACCAGCTCACAAACATATGAATGAAAAAAATTCAAAAGTTTTTCTGTAGACACACAATCTACTCCAAGAACACAAAACTGTTCTACTTCTATTACTACTTCTTTCCAACCGTAATGGGGTCACTTTACTTTTTACTTCCAGGGAAAAGTCTCACAATCTCACAATGCTCATTACTTTACATTTTTTTACATCACTTTCTAAGTATCTAATCCTCATTCTAAATGAATTCAGCCAATGCCTCCATCATGAAATATCAAGAAAATGTGATTAAAAGCTATTTTTAAGTAATCAATTGGCATCAATATTACATCAAAATAGCTTCTGATTCCTTTCTGAAAGAAAACCAAAGCCTTTAAATTACCAAAATGAAATGTTCCAATCAATGATGCCATACGTTTGACATCAACAACTGTTCCTGTCCTTTTATCTGCTTGGATCATCTGCCATCTGCTTCAAATTACTTCAGATTTTACAGAATTAATAACAGGCTACTAGTGCAGGCATAATTAAACTGAAACAACTATTTACCGAGTTAAAACATAAAATAGCAGAAATGAACCAACTAGTACGCACCAGGTGGTAAAGCAAGACAAGTAGGACCATTTACACGTCCGACAGCGAAAAGAATTTCAAGGGGACAAGGTTAAAGGTTATTTCTTGCCATGTTTTTTTTTTCTACACTGAATAGTTAAAGGGGTTTCACAAACATTTTATTATGAAACTTATATTTCCATAAGACTACAGCACCGGAGCTCAGTTCTGTTTGCCGTTAAAAAGAGCCGAAGACGCTAAAGATCCATTTTGCTCTGGCCTAGTTTAAACAGGGAATGCAGTATTAACTACCATTTCTTAAAAGCTCACTTAAATATCAAACAGTGAGGCTACTCTCCCCGTTTACTTGTGTGTCACTTTAGCACTTTGTGTGCCGTTGTAGATAAATAATTAAAAATATTATTTTTTCTTGTTCATATTTAACTATTTTACATTTAGCTTTGAACACTAGAATAACAAATGCCCTTATCTAGTGACTATGTCTTCCAAGTTGGCCAATGTGTTCCTTTTACTTTTGTTTCCAGCAACTCGCTCTCGGCTAATGCCGATGTAACATGCTCAATTGGTCAAAAGAGCTGACAATGAGCCATTAGTTCCCTCAAGCAATGACACGCACCAACATGAAACGCAAGTTTACCTAACGCTGAGCACCATGAGAAACCAGCGCCTGAGTCTTCTTCCATTAGACGAGGGGCATTTGGCAGGCTAACTTAGGGTGCATTACAGCCATCTACTGAGGGCTAACTACACTCCTCACACATGCGTGTTTTAACCAATTTTGTCAGTCAGTCAGGAAGTAAGCAAAAATGCCTTTCTAGGCTGGCTTGCTAAGTGGTCAATAAAGGTGAAAACAAAGGTGCAATAAAGGTGAAAATAAAAAATTAACAAAAAGAATTAGAACATTTTCCCTCATTCAAAAAGGGAATATGCATTGTAGTGCATGATACCTTGCACATCAGGCATTAACTGCAGTATTACCTCTTGGTGACAGGAAGGCTGGGGGGAGTAGGCCAGGAGCTCCATGGTGCAGAAGCTGTCCTGAACTGTCCTGCATGTTGGTTCTATAAGAGCGTTTCGGGGGCCGGCCTGGGCGAGAGCTGCAATGGGTGCAAACACAGAGACTGTTAGGTGCAAAGGTGATGAATCTGGGTTGTTCTTGACCTGCTGTGGTTTAACCTGACAATATATGAGATTTTGGTATTTAAGTGTTCATGTACCATGGCTTAAACAAACAGTTAGAACCACACCTTTGCATCCATGACCATGATGGCTTTTGAGAGACAAAAATTCCGCATCCATTTCAAAAGGAATACAAGTTTGGAGGTGCTAGTACCATTTTCTGTACATGTTCAGTCATCAGGAACAGGAGCAGCCTTCAAAACATGAATATTTCTGAGAGACCCTTAATACTCAATCATACTTGATTGTTTAAATTAGCCAATTTACTTGAACACAATGGTACAGAGTACAAGCATAATGCATCTGAAGGACAAGTGAAATTAATAAACAACTGCATAGTAACTCACACGTGAACATTAAAATTTTTCTGCCATGCTGGTCAAGCAGCTGTAAATAAAACCATCCACCATGACTGGACCTAGTCTGTATCAAAAAGGATTTTGGGCAAGAAGCTGCTGCTGAGTCCACACTGATGTAGTCTTCACCAAAGCTCGCTCTTACATTAGAGGCCATGAAGTTGGTGAGTGAGCACCTCTTCGACCACCAAAATGAGAAACAGGCCATGACCTTGTAGACCTATTCGTCATGTACAAAGGGTAATTAAAGACTCCAAGGTGCAACAGTTCGGAATATATTTGGACAGGTTTGAATGATTGGGGGAAAATACCTAATAGCGATTTTTTAAATGCAGTGATTGTCTATAAATGAATTTCCAGGCTTGTTTTTTTGCCAAAGAAGACAAGAATATCCATTTTTTTGGCATGAAGCTTGAACAAGTGTACTCATGTACATCTGACTAATGTACACCTGGAGTTCTCCTTTTATCAAAATGCATGTAATTGTGTTGGGTGAATTATTACCAAACGCAGTTAACTATTTTGTACATCTAAACATACTCAATAGCAATGTTTGACTGTCCTCCTACACACTGGCTGTCAGAGAGTTGTATTTAAAATAATGTTGCATAGATTGCTCTTTCTGATCACAGCAAGGATACTCTCTCTCACTCCCTCCTGCACTCTGCTCTCCTCCATCATGCACGATAACACATCCCCTACTTATTCACATTTTCAGCCTGCCTTCCTCTCTCTGTCCTCTCCTTTGACAAACAGAGGACACCATGGCAATCCAATAAACAACCGTGTGAGAGTCCCTGGGGCGGAACAGAAGTGCCAAGTCAGCAGAGTCAAGGATGACACCTTGCAAATGGACAGGAGAACACAAGCAGAATTCCTAAACGGCAGCGTGAATGCATGAGCAAGAGGATGAGAGAAAAAAAAGCACCTACTAAATGCGTACAAAAAAGCAAAGAATTTACAGTATTTTATATTATATATATATATATATATGTATACACACACTTTTCTTTCAGTAATTTTATCACAAGATATGCTATGCTATATGCTATATAAGCACTCAGTCTAATGATAAGGAGGGTAGGAGAAAAGCCAGTAGTCACTTGCAAAGAGTTGCAGGACAACCTCCACACTGGAACAACAGTTACACAGAGAACCATAGGCAACGAACTGCACCCCACACAAATCTTCTCTGTTAAAAAAGACACCGAGATATGTATCTAATATTTACAGAAAGCAGAACCCTCTTAGAACAATAGTACTCTTTCGACAGACGAAACAGAACTCTCTCTAATTCAGCTCATCATATTTGGAGAATGAAGTTTTGTGTGCATGATCCCAAGAACTGCATGCCCGGAGTGGAGTATAGAGGTGAGAGCATCATGATACGGGGTCACGCTTCTCTGCAAACAATACTGGGGCATTACAAGTCATGCACACATGAATGGAGCGATTTACTGTGACATATTAGAGGAGAATATAACCTTATCAGCAAAAAAAGAGGAGAGGATGGATGTTTCAACTCCCAAGGCCTCAACTGAAACACAATCTTGCAAAAAAAGCTAATGACTTCTTAGCACAGATGTAGGATTTGCCAACAGCTTTACAACTAAATACTAGAGTTATTTATTTGTCTAAAGACCTTTTTCAGTTTTTAAAATCTCTCTTGGTTTATGCTTATGAATATGTCCTTTTTTGTGTAAATTTGAACTGTATGCGTATTAAATAACAAAAACAAACATGTCTAAGTACTTGTTTTCCCTAACTTTAACAACTGAAGTAAATTTTAAATTCTGTTATTGTGCAAAAACAGAAATGAATAATGTATAGAGAAACAGATGGTACGTAAGTGTAAGCACGAGAGCGCTTTTCTGGGCTTGGCAAACAGTGCTAAATGGTTCTGAATTTCTTTTGTAATTTCTCCTATATGTGCTTCAAAAAAAATTGTGTGTACAACTACGACCATCAGACGCTACTGGAATTTCATGCTATCAGTAGCAGCTTTTACCCGCAGATTCTCAGCCTGATACGAGGACCAGGCTCCACGACTGCAACGTCATCTGATGCAGCTCACTGAGAAGCAGTACAAGTCACATGCAATTTACAACTTATTAATTGACTCAAAGCAAAATTCTGGCACTACTGCGTTCAATTCATGCCCAGGTAATCGTAAACATGCTAATCTCCAAGTCCAGAAACTCCAACTTCCACAAGACAAAAATTCAACAAAAATTATCCAACCAATTTACCATCGTTTCTGGTTTTATTTTACAACAATGTGAGGTGTGCATGGCTGTTAACAGTAGAATAACTTTCCCAAATCAATTTACAAGAAGCACTTATTACCTACCTTGTACGCTAATCCATTAGCATGGTTTCTAGTAAGGTTAATGCTAATCGGAACATCTGTTTATTAAATGTAATTTCAGAAGACCATCTAAAATTATATAAACCTTCAGCATCAGGAATAATTGGCAATAATTATTCTGTGATATAAAACAGACAGCTGCTGTAGAACAGGAAAAACATGTATCTCTCTCAGCAAGCAGAAAGATAAATGTCCATCATGCTGCAAGATTTGAAAAAAAATAGTGACTGGGGATGTATCCTCAACATATGTAGATCTGTATCAACTGTTTTACAGACTTGGCTATAAGGAGCTGAGGCTGTCTGGCAGTTTTTATAAAACCTGTGAATAAATTTCAAGTGAATTATTTTGTGGCCAAGAGGAGAAAAATATCTGCTTCCCCATAGAGGAACCAGAGTCGCAAGAGCAATGGCTAATCAGAGTGCTCGTTACCACACTGCAGAAACAGGACATGTCATCTTCCTGTGAGATCCATCTGCTCTAAGCACTCAAAGAGCCATTCTTTGGAGTGATGCCATACACCCCCAACTTTTGGTTTCCAATGGAACCAAAAGTTGGGGGTGTATGGCATCTTGAATGTATGCCACCCTGTGTTTCTGGCAGTGGTACAGTACCTCAATAAAAGAAAATATATTTAAAAAAACTGATGTTTTACTGTCCAGCAGCTTGTTTCCCCAAAACTCACTTAACTATAAAAGTGCTTTATATGACAGCATTTCCTACAAAAAAAACAGTTCTCACTTAAGGTTCGAGTTACCAATACGTTTATCCAAAAGTTGTATTTGACGTTTCCATCTCTTATTTAATGTATGTAACAACTTGTGTAACTTTGGCTTCCCTGACTTCCTCATAACCTATTGATAATAATAATAAACAAAATGTCATTATTATTATTATTTACCCATCAGAACCTTTACGTAAGAGATCACATTTCTCTGCAAATTACAGATGTTTAAGCACTTTCTACTAAGACTGAAGCCTTTTCTAGACACCTCTCTCTGTAGGAGCTGAAAAGTGGCGACATTCCTTTTGCTCTCGTCTCCCCCTTTTTTCTAATATCATATCACAAAATATTTGGTGCGTCTCAGGACAAACAATACCTCTATACATAGATCCTGGCATGAACAATTTAAAGAACAGTTTTTGTAAATGTAAAAGGTTCTATACCAGTTTAAATATCATTATAATTATTATTATTATTGTTCCAATTAAAGAACTGTAAGAAAAATAAATCCTAAAAATGGTTCCTAAATAGTCCATGGTTTGGATATAAGGTGTCGGCCCAATTTAACACCTAGAGAGAGTGCAGCTGAATAATATGAGATTCTCAAACTTGAGAAGTGGAGACTCCACCTGCTCTTGGAGGTCTGCTCAACCTGCTTAGTTCCATCTGATCTAACTCATCTGATCTACATAATTAAAGAGGTAAAGAACATTAGAGTGAGCGGCATTCAAACTGGGTAGCCGACACTGTTAAGTGACAAAGAAAATGCTGAAAAAATGTAAACTCAACCAAATGGTACATCCTCATAAAATGTCTACAGCTCAAATATAGCAGTTTTATTTACTGTCAAAAACGATTCCGCCACAAAAAAAATGTATGTTTTAGGCCAAAACTTTATCTTGAAATTATCGTAAAACAACATTTCAGGCATCAGACAGAATTTTCGGAATTCTCTCATGTAATAACTTTCTGTGAGCTAGATTTTAGGGGCATTAAACGCTTCTGCGTCTGGTTTCCATCACCACCAAACAACTCTGAATGACTTTCTTTACATCTTAATGATTTAATTATGCAGAAATTGCCGAACCATCTGTGTAACTCTCTTAAGTCTGTTTAGCTCTACTTGATCAATGGCCACATCTAATAATTGACAAAGATGAAATTTCAGCATTATTCAGATGTTTTTCAGAAAAGTGAAAATGCAAATACACTGCTAGTTGTTAACTGCCAATTTTTTTTTATTTTGGATGTATGTGTCTTTTAAGTGAGATGATAGCCAGGCGACTTGCATGCTTATCTTTTGGCAAGAGCTAGCAAAGCATTTTCAGAACTTCACTTTCCCATAGATGATGCACAGTAAACAAGCAGAAAAGTTGTTGAACTTTCATCTTGTTTTTTTCTTAAATAACCAGACATTTAAACTGCAGAATCAGCTTACAAATGGGCCCTGCAATCTCCCCTGCTAGTCTGGTCAGCACAGAGGGGTCTGCCATTCTCTACCCCACTGGCTATAAAGCCACCGAAGATTTGTTGAGACTAGACTTGGCTCAAACATATGATTTTAAATATCACTATTACTGCCATTCAGAAACAAAGCACAACAACCTTTTGTCATCATTTCAACAATCTTGGTTCCACTGAACACATGCTTCACCAAAGGTCTGGTGAGGGTCAACATTATGATGAATCATTGCAAAATGGAAATTTTTTTCAGTATAATTCAATTGCTGAGAGATAAATGAAGTCATTCAAAGTGCTTTGAAGTAAAATGGCACATTGTAGAGAAGCCTCATGACTTTACAATTTCTTTACAATGGTGGTGATAGGAAGCAAAGCAAACACAGCTATTTTATATGCTATCCAAAATGAAATGCAGTAAACCTACATGTGTCAAGCAGTAATGTTGAAAATAGTAAAAACAGTATAAAATCTTAGGAAAAAAAAAAAGTTTTCTTTGCGGACTATTTTGTTGTACAATGTCACGTATGTACCTCTCCACCATGAATGGCCTTTCAAAATATGCTTTAGGCTATAATTCAAAACTATCCATAAAACAATGTCTCAGGCATCAGGCAGCGTATTAATAACCCTTTCATTGAATAACTTCTTTTTGTGGTGTAGCTGTTAGAGGCTTTAAATGGGGACTCCGTTAATTTTTTGTTTTTTTATTCTACGAATAAATGGCTGAGATGTAAACAAAGTCATTCAAAGTGGTTTAATGCCAAAAACTCCATTCTAGAGAAACTTACTGAATCAGAACTGTTCACAGTTGAGGAGAAAGGAACCAGACATCTAAAGACTTTAATGCTTCTGAACGCTCCCTCACAAGTAATAACACGAAATAGTTATGACCTGATATCTGACACCTTGTTTAATGATCATTTTGCAATAATGGCTTAAAATACATTTTAATCTATTTATTTTAATTCATTAATGGTGTTGCATTGCAAAATAGTCCCCAAAGAAAACTTATATTTTCAGATTTATGCCTACCTTCATCAAATTTTACATTTTAAAAAATTCAGAAAACACGTGTAGGTCCACTGGTGATTTTGGATAGTAAATAAAATGGCTAAATTTGTGTTGTATACATGGCGACCCCTGGTTCCAGTTTCTCTACAATTAACCGTTTCACATCAGACCACTCTGAATGACTGTTTACCTCTTAAGGACTGACTTAAGGACTTAAGGACCGAATTATTCAGAAATTTTGAAAAAACAATGGTGGAATTACCCTTTAATAAGTACCCAGCAGGCTCTACGGTGTTGAAGCAAGTCCAAATTAACACAAAAAGAACACTAAGACTTTATTCAGCACTGGTAATTTTGTTGAGCATCCAGTTTAAAACAGTTAATCCAAAGACCAGGGTTCAAAACATACATAACAACACTGACTAACAGCACTTTTATACAGTTTTTAAAATGACTACGTTAATCAACCATATTGATACACATAATTAGGTTGAGGCAGCATTTTGCAAAATTGTTTTTTTGAGTACTTAATAAGTTTAAAAAATGAGAACTTTAAAAAGGAAGGTAAACATCTCAGAGACGTTACCTTCTCATTTCTCCACACGAATGTCTACACTCTTGAAAAAGCTGGTTTCATAAGGGTTCTCTAGTAATGGCAACAGTTCTATCTAGAACCATCAGAGCTACACAGAACCATTTCATGCGTAAATGGCTCTTCACGTGGTGAAATTATTCTTTAGATTGATGAAGAATGTGTTGTATATGGTTCTATATACAAGCTTTTTGAAAATGGTTCTATATAAAGTGTTCTGCTATTGTTACGATGTCAAGCTTCTAACAACAGAACCCTTTTTGGTACTATATACAACCATATACAATGCATACTCCACCAACCTGAAGAACCATTTCAGCATGAAATTATTCTATATAGAACTCATGGTTCTAAATAAAACCACTGCCTTTACTAAACAACCCTTGAAGGGCCATCTTATTTTTTAAGAGTGTACATTGTTACGAAGCGTGCTAAACCTTAAAAAAGAATGAAAAAAAGACTTTTACATACTTCTATAGCGATCATACTGAACAGTGTGCTCACCTCGCGCTGGTACAGTCGTTATAGAGCGCCTCGAAATCCCTCCTCGAGATGAGTTTGCAGCGGTTGACCCCGGGCTGGATGGCGCCCACCCCGCGCAGCACGCGCACCTGCTCCACGGTGCAGACCACGGGGCGCGCGCGCAGCCGCTTCAGCTTGGTGTAGACGGTGTGCAGCCCACCGACCAGGTGCTTCAGGAAGAGCTCGAACACCTGCGGGAGGCAGATCAGCTCCTGTCCGTCCACGCGGAACGACGCCACCTTCAGCCCGCGCACTTCCACCAGTCTGCATTCGTTCGCCACCGTCGAGCCGCTCAGCGAGCCAGTGGGCGCTCGCGGAGGAGAAGCGGGCGGGCTGAAGCTAAACGGGTCTGTCCCAAACTGCCTCGCGGAGAGAGTAGAACCCGGAGAGATCAGCGGAGGAGTTGAGGGGACGTCCATGCTTTACATCACAGACGCCCTTTTGGAGAGTCTTTCAGCCTCGGACATTTGGCATACGTTCCTTTGCTCTATCTTTTCTCCATTTTTTAACTCTCGCTTGTTTGCACTGAACCGTAAAGAGACATATAAGAATGTAGACCTCCCTCTGTTGTGCGCGTGCTCTGCGCTATTTTTCCCCACTCGTATTCCGTCAAACCCCGCCTCCCGTACTAAGATTGGCTAAGAACTGTCCAACCGGTAGACGGCTGGCTGCTGAGTATGCACTACAACCAGAGAACGTGCAGAGAAAACCGCCGCTCTGTAATATGCTCCGAGGTTCTCAAAGGCTAGAGGGCGCTCCCGAGCGAGTCCAAAATGAATGGGTTAATATGGCGCATCTGAGCAAAAGTTTGTAAACATTTGTATATAAAAGAATGCATTAATTTTTCGTTGATACTTCACATACATGATACAAATGATACAAACATGATAAACATGATAGAAACAAAGCTAAACTGGACTTGTTTGTGCCTTTATGCACACACAAGAAGGAGAGACATTACTGCAGCGCTCACCGCTATTAAAAGAGGCACTGCTTTCACACAAGTCATGGTGCTTTATTTTCCAGCTGTTGTCGGCCACATAACTGAAGCTTTTTTTCTCTCTAACAACTCGTTCTCTACTCACCTCATGTCTCCCTCTCCACCTGCGCACCCACCTGCATCAGAATTTATAGAAAAATGATCCTAATGCAATAAATGCCAGAGAACACATAACCTAAATCTAACATTACAAAACATTCTAAACATCATAAAGGAAAAAGGGTAACTGGGAATTAATATGACAGTGAAATGCAGAAATCACGGTCAGAGCTGAGGAAATATTTTACAATGAACTGGCTGCTGAATTTAAATTGTAAAGAGAGTAATTATTTGCCTGAACTCAGCAGAGCTCTTCTTACTCTGTTTGAATGAATAGAATAGCAAGGTATGAACATTAATACCGTGATTTTTTTTTTGTAAAATACACTGTAGAGAGACTGTATTGTCATACATGTACATCACTGCCTGCTTTTAGCTTCAACGTACAGTGTTAGCCGAGCTGCTTTCAGAGCTTCTGCTCAGTACAGCGTGTTACTGTCTACTGTCGCTGCTCAGACACCAGAATGTAACTACAGGACTGTTTAAGGTAGACCAGAAAATTTGAAAAAAGAAGCTGGCAAGAAGGAAGCTAACAACTACTTAATTCTAAGTAGGTTACTCAGTTTGGTATCGGACTTGGTATCGGCGAGTACAAAAAAATATGTACTTATTCTATGCATCCTTATTTTTCATCATAAAAATTGATATTTCCCCTGATTATGATTTTGTTGGAAATGTTGCTAATACTGTGCTAGATTGGTTACAGCTGTATAATTGGCTTTATTTATGGTTTTGCTATTAGGAGAAATAAGTAAGTTGGACTGTGAGTGCAAAATAAGCAATGAAAAGTGGCATTTTGTCTAAAACTTGGCTTAATCACCTGTGGGCTGCCTGGACAACACTGAACAAAAAGCCAGTGGGCCGCTAGCTTTGCCATCAGCAGGCCAAAAGTGGCCCACTATCCTCTTGCTATCTGGGTCACAGGGCCTTACATAACTCCAGAGCTCAGTCAGAGGCAGACTGTGAATTATATCATGACAATTCATGGGGGGGGGGTCAACTTTTTCTCCAGGGCATAAAGGTAGCCCAGTGCAGTTTAGGTGCATGCTTCAGTGAACTGAAGTCTTACTATCCTTACAGTCTCTGCTTGTCTAACATTATATCTGCAGTCTGTAGATGGTGATAAATCCACCAGCTCATTAGCGCGTATCACAAAAACATTTGTAGTCAGTAGAGCAAAAACATTTGTAGTTTGTAGAGCAAAACTGCCAGCAAGTCAGACCCCCACACACAACAAAACTCATCTCTTCGCTAGCAGATCCTGCCTGCTCACTGTCCTGACCCCCTCCTGCCTTCTGACTGTCATTCTAACCTCCCCTCTGCTCCCTTAATACAACAGCACATAAATGTAAAACTCACCATCATCTATACTATCCTGCACAGTATTAAGCCCGCATAACAATCACGGAGAATAAGGGCTACATCTCTATGTCCTAATTCTTACAAGTTACAACTTACTCTTTTTTTAGCACCAAAAAGTGCTGTATATCTTTTCTCCTCTTGCTCATGTTGACTCTGTAAATAAAATCTAATCTGAGTATAAGTAGTTATACATTTGAACTAATACAATTACTCACCTTCAGCACACATGGAGTTTAACATTAATTCAACTACTTAGCCAGGTAAAACCCCTGAATTCTTTAGTGTAAACAAATAGAATGCCTATTATAAAAGCTATATTTGAAAGGCAAAGTACTAAGTTAACTACACCACCACCACAGCTACACAGAAGACTATTAAAATGAAATATTTTCTCTCTATATTCTATATACTCTATATTGATGTCAAACCATTTCTCTACATCAACTAATCCTACGTTGCCTCACTGCTCATGATTGAGCTCCAGTGTTAGCGGACATTAGATGTGTGTATAGTGTATGACATTTTATATTGGTAATGAAATACGAAGCCAACACTGGAAATGAAAGGGCGAGCTATCAGCTAGCTAACATTAGTCAGCTAATGCTAGGTAAGGCACACATTAGCTTCGTTAGTTAGCTGAGATGTAACTTCCAACAAAAGTTAGAAACTAGCTAGCTAACGTTAACATTCATCCACAGACACTTAACATAATCTAATTCAGAAAGTCTGAGGGTAAGAAAGTGTATTAAACAAGCTAGCTAGTGACAGGATTTTGAATACATATTCCCTTAATCAGTAATCAAATAGTTTAGGTATTGTAATCAATAACCAAATAAGTAGTATTGGCTAACAGAGAATATTAATTCTCTCACAAAGGGTAGGCCTTAATCTTAGGCATAGGAGATTCTAGACACTGGAAAGCCCCTGGTTTCACAGAGAGGCCTGTGTGTACTTACTGACCCAGTGAAGAGAGGGGCAAGTTGACCTTGAAAGGTAAAGCAGACTGTTAAAAACCTGTTGAAACCAGTTTTTAGGAGTGAGCTCATCATGCCAAATTGATGGACGAAGAGATGCACCTATTAGAGAATGAGCTAATATCAAAATTTGAGAAGTGAGGTGGGGGGATATCAAATTACCCTAGATAAATGGTATATAAGCTGTTGTCTGAAACACTGTATTTGTGCAGTTGGGTCTCTTGAGACCCTGTGCCACCTGATGCTGAAATAAAGAAGAAGATTTTTTCCCTCTTCCACAACTCAGCGTCTGAAGACTCTTTCCTTTTTGACATCTTTTGAGAACTTAGAACAGATATTAGTGAAAGTGTTTAGCTGGTATTTAAAGATTTCTTTTTATTCATAATATTATGTTGGAGGCCTGGGGTTGAAGGGGATAGCCCTTGGTCCTGACACTAGCTACTTGCATTAACCTACAGTATCTACTGGCCTGCGGAACAACAGCACTGGAGCATACAGTATAATGGGTATGCGAGCCACTGCAAAGATGGGAATGAGGCAGGGAAAAAAGACGGCTAACTAACATCTAGGTTAAGAAATGGTATGATCCACTTTAGGGGTGTCTGACATAGGTAAGCAGGATATATAAATGTTTCAACCTCCCTCAAACTGTCGTTTTTGCTCCTTTTGTGGGGGGTCTAAGTCTTAATTGGGAGGGGTCAGACCCTCTTCAGATCTGATTCAAATCTGATTCAAATCTGTCATATTTGGTCCTAGATCGGATGCGTATCCGATTCTTGGCCATGCGACCTTAATGAGGACACTCAGACCGGAACTCATGCGCCTTTTTCCACTGCGCATGCGCTGGCGTTCAGCGTACCGAGGGCGGCAGCAGCGTCGAGCAGCAGTTAAAACCTGTAAATGGTGGAAAAGAAATTCATCTCACATTTTTCGCCTTCGTCTCACTCTAATAATGAACAGCTGAGAGCTGTTCGGAGTTATAATCATCTTCACAGCAAAAAGGCTTGTTGTGCTCCTTAGTTTGTTTGCTGATCATGACGCACACGATTAATTCACGTGACGTTACTGATTAGGATGATGTGAATCATCATGTTGGAGATATCGGACCTGAGCAAAAATTCGAATTTGAGCAATAAGGCTTTTCACAGCTCTGAAAACATCAGATCAGAGGCTACATTCACATTACCAGGTTGAAGTGGCACAAATTCGATTTTTTGCCCTAATGTGACTAAGATCTGATTTCCACTAGACTAGAGGGTTAATCTGGTTAGACACACAGCCTGGCCACTTATCCTCCTGGGTTTGTATGAGTTTCTTAAAGCTCATGGGTTGGAACCATAACACTGAGTAGAAGCTAAACTGGTGTCACTGATGTGCAGCTTACATTACTAATCTCACAGTTTTCTTATTGAAGCATAAAAAGAAGTCACGTTTAATAGGTAACGTGTGAGTAGAAATATTGTCATGCTAAATACAAACCTGTTTCTCCAAATGTCTTCTCTCTCCTCCTGTGTGTTAGTTTGTCTTATTTATCAATTCAAATAAAATTCCCATCTGAGCTGAAATCCTACCCAAGTGTAAATCTATCTATAAAAAACATCTATAAAAAAGGGGTCACTTCTGGAGTTATTTTGTTCACAATGCATGGTTCATAATGGGCCCATAACATAATAAGCAAGTGATTATTTGTATGTGTATAAGTGAGACAGGACATCAGGTGTGATCTGGATGAGAACATGTGGCCAAATAATGCACACCTAGACTAAGCATTTAGAGTATCTGTGACTTTTTTCTTTACTTAATTTGTTTGTATACAATAAAGATATACCATTCTGTTTTTAATGTATCTCTGATGTAATGATTTTTTCATTCTTTGGAAAAAATGGTTTGTCACTTTAACCTAAAATATTTAATGTGGTATCAATTTAGGTGGTAGTTTATATCAGTTCAACCCTCAAAACCCTTAAAATCAACTTGCTCTTTTCCACTTTCTACAGTGTTGTTTGCATGATCAGCCGAAGAACAATAAACTAATTACAATAAGAAACACTACCTGTGAACTGAAGATTCTCATAAATATGGATATATGTCACTCTTCATGTACTAACAAATGCATACAAACATATATGAACAGAATTAAGCAGTTAATTAGGA